TGGGCAACATTTAGTTTGTGTTTATGCCTTTCTTCCACAGTCACAACTACTTTTGTATTTCCCATGAAAGCTAATAAACTTCATTCACTTTTTCTATAAATGATATTTTGTCTTTACCTTTGTTAATATTTCTCTTTTTTTTTTATAGATACCATGTCTCTTCAAGAAGAAGGCAATCATGGCGCTCCACAGATTTTGTTTCTTTATTATCTATGAATTTCTATGACTTCTTAAAGTGGTTTCTCATGTCCATCTTTACAGTTTTAAATTCAGAGCAACCCTTCTCATAGACTACTATCCAAGGCTAGTATACTCTGTCATTTAACCCATAGCTATGATGAAAAGAAATAGATTCATGACTTTCCCGAGGGCACAGGTGTGAAAGTGACTGCAACAGACTTGGTTGGAATTTGAACTCAACTTACTGATTCCACTTCCTGCACCAATAATCACTACACTATCCGCACACCCACTACTACTACTACTACTGCTACTATTAATAATAATAATAATTAATAATAAACAATAATCATATTTTTCTCCTTAAAAAATTTTTTGGAGAAATTTATTTTTCTGCAAGTGAATATTTCTCAATAGAAAGTTGGTAAAAATGTGCTTTTTGATTTTCCATTTTGTTTCCTTTTTAAAGAAAATCTGTTTTGAAAATAAACTATAGTAAATTATATCAATTTTGTCTTTTTGCTTTTACATTTTGGTAGTATCTATAACCCTTTTCATATATGTACAGAATAAATTTCCTTTTTTTAATAATCAAAATTATTTCATCCTCATAGCAAAATTACAATATTGTTCTTTATGGTCACCCATGTAGCTCATCCCTACATGGCTTTGCCAGATTCACCAAGATATCATTAGGTGGCACCGTTAAACAGCTATAAAAATGGGACACTCCACTTTTCTCTCTTTTTCTTCTAGCATGCTGTAGTGACAACACAGGACCTTGAGATGTTTTTCCCATGGTGATTGAACTTTCACATACATGTGCATATATCACACACACAATTCATAATTGTTAACTTTTAACGACTTCCTTCTTCTAATGAATGCCCTGTAGGAATGCAAAGGGTGATTATCTCCCTTTGGTTGAGATGAAGTCACAAGGTTCACATGACGGCAAGTGAGTGACATCAGTTCATATAATGTTGAAAGCCAGTTGCTAGTTATCAAGCTCCGAGTCAAGACAGTCATGACAAGTCCACAGTGGTAGGGCAAACAGAGGAATCCACATGGTCTCACCAGGTATATAGAAGACACTACTGACCTGCACATTTTTACCATTGGGAAATATTACATGTAAGACCCTCTCTCTTTTTGCTTCTTTCACACTGCTTGTTGGATACATATGTTATAATTTCTCTGTGTGGGACAAATCTGTGATAAGTATGTATATATCTGTATAAAAAATATCTCTGAAAACAAACCATATTTGTCATTCCTTTCTTTCAGATATTCTGTTCTGTCCGTGTATTAAAGTGTTACTATAACATGGATATTGTTATGATATTACAAGTACAGATTGCAGTTGTATGCAGTCAGTATTGGTTCTACGATCTAAGTATCCCTGCTACTACCTTATGCAGCAAGCCTATACATAACATTAGCACTAACCAGCTACTACTACATAATGGGGAAATGCAAACTGGGAATATTTCTTTCTTGCATCAAACTCCAATTAGCCCAAAAGCTGATAGGGTTATCAATGTTTGCATATCAGGCATAAGATTTAACATCTGCTAAAGTTGATTTGAAAGCATGGAGTTGGAAGAGATTGCTACAAGTGAAATTGCAAGAAAAGAAATTGTTAGCATAGAACTTACTGTTATATCTAGCCAATAAATCTGTAAATTAGTGAGATCTCATCACAAGTCTAGTACTGCACTGATGTAATGAATATGCATACACCTGGGTTCCCCCTCACAGTAATATGATTGGCTGGTGTCAGCCATAAATACAGACTGATGTGGAGGTACAGGATGACGCCTATTGACTATGCCTATTCGCCTACGCCTATTGCCTACCACTACGATGAAGACCAGTCCATTACAGTTACCTGCTAGATTGTCCTACTCGGTTACAGTAGTCAACAACCACTCTGCTACTTCGAACAAATATATCCCTTTTCAGGACATATCATGCACTTAACTTCATAAAGTCTAGGTACCATGCTGATGGAAAGGGGTCTCTCAGGTGATTAATAGAGAACAGTTTAGATTTGGAGATGTTAAAATTAACAAGCCTTCCTTTGTCCAAGTCAACAACAGACTAAAGATCATTTTTGACATCAGCTGCTAATTTGACCATATTGCAAAGATCAGACTTACTATCAAGACAAGAGTGAATGGTTGTATCATCAGCATCAATACCAAGTTGAGAGCTGATGTCATCAGGAAGTTGTTAATAAAAATTAAAAATAAAGTAGGACTAAGGATAGAGACCTGGGATATATCTGCAAAAGAGTGACCATTCAGGATAACTTTCATTTCACAATAGAGAGATGTTTCATTTTTTAGGCATTAAAAATAACAAGCCAATCACAACCCCAGTTAACAACAGATTCTAGGTCATTTCTGTGATCAGCTGCCAATTTGACCTTATCAAACTGGGAGACATCTGTGTTAACACAAAAAGATCTAGAAGAGTGGCCATTCAGGACAACATTCATTTTGTGATTTGATAAGAAAGAGTGAATTTAAAAATTGTCCAGAAATACCATAACCTTTCATCTTGTGAAGAAAACCAGTATGCCAAGCCATGTTGAATGCTTCCAGGATGTCCAAAGCAATAGCCTGAGGTTCACCATTCTTATCTAGAGCTTAACAGACTCTTTCCACAATTATCATCAGTTGAATTAGAGAAGCGAAAGCCATATCACTTGTCTGAAAGAAGGAAAGCAAGAGGCAGTGAGACATTTATAATACAGTTTAAAGAGAACAGGAGCCAGTTCAAGAGCACACTTCTTTAGTACTATTACAGGGATACCATCAGATCTACATGCTTTGTGGGGATCCCGATTAGAGAATAATAGAAACCACAGAAGGGGTTGTATGCATATCACTCAACAAAGACTCAGTTCTAAGTAGAAATTTAGGCAAGGATACTCCAGATGAGTCAAGAGTAGAGTTAAAGAATTTATGGGTGAAACATTCACCTTTATCAGCAGAAGATGTTAACACCTCAAATTGATTGAAGAGAAGAGGAATAGAAAACTTACTCTTATTTAGAACACTATTACAGACCAGCCAGTAATCATGAGAGTCAAAGTTGTTAGATGTAATATGGTGTCTCATTCTCTCAGCAAACAAAGACTTAGCTCTTTTGAGGACATATTTACATTTATTACATGCAGCCATGAATAGGCATCTGTTATGATGGGAACTGTCTCGCTGGAAAACCTAGAAATAGTGGTTTTTGTGGGTGGCAGAACATGCTGGAGTGAACCACAGAGAAGATTGAAAGATTGAAGTTTCACCTGGTATTTCTGAGAAGGTATGAAAGCATCTATAACAGCTTTAACCCAAATCTCAATATGGAGGTTAAAAATTACATTCCAAGGGGCGTCTTGAAATACATCATGGAGTGAATCACAATCAGCATGCAGGTAATACATCCCCTATAATCTAAACTATGAATGAAATTTTTATAAATATTCAGGTCTGGAAAACTTTTGTAGATATAGATTTATTTGGGAGTTTATTTTAGATTAATTTCACTCATGGCGCTTTCCAAAATTCATGTGGAAAAGTAATTTTTTACCCTTATATAGTCCAACTTCAGTTGCAATAAATAGTGTAGTTGTTATATAATAATCATATTATGCATTTTAATGTATTTGTATCACATGCAAATTAGTAATATGAACTTTTAATGGCAGATATCTTCTAAAGAGATAAAAATATTACTTTACCCTTTTGTAGAGGAGTAATTAATGTGTTTAAACTAAGGTATTAAAGTCTTGTATCTGTTCTACAAAGTTCAATGGAAGATGCATAAGGCATATTAAAACCTGTTTTTATACTTTAATAATGTCAAAATTCCAAATAATTTTTTCTGTAAATAAAAAGCTTTTAAAATTAAATAAACACACTTATATAATTTATATAGTAAGCAGAAAACTTGTGTACAAAATAACAAAACATTCAGTTAATAAATTGAAGGGAAAGGCTACAATCTGCTAAAAATAAGGTAGATTTGAGTTAAACAATATTATTATTTCCTAAAATAAAGACTAATAATATAATTTTTTTAAATGCAAAAAATTTATCAAGAGTAAAAAATGCGTGTAACTGTACTTAGTACTTCGTATATGTGAGCATAATTTTTTGTGGCATAACATTAGACTTAAATGCCATTAAAAAAATTATGAATAAAAGGAAACTGTAGTTCTTAGAAAACGAGAGAATATTAATAATAATCTTTTCAATTTTATTATTATTATTATTATTATTTTAACTTTTTTTTATCAATATTCGGCGTATACCTTAATTGAGGTCTAATTGCAATTACCTCCCTTAGGTAATCATGCCGGAAGAACATTGTTCAGCTGTTATACTTTGCGCTATACTATTGTTGCGATATTTTAGTGGCTATAATACATTTATATTAAATTACGAAATACAGAGCTTCAAAAAATTATTAATGACTTAGTCTGATTTTAATTTTTTCTATAAAAATAAATTTTGATGTTTGCTTTATTTAATATTTCGTGAAAAATATTTTTAATATAGGCGCCGAGATTAAAAAGCCAATCAGATGACGAGAATATGATAGTTTCAGTCCCCCCATTCCTAGCAACTATTTGACACTGTGGCGGATTCCCGCCAACGTACGAATTGTGCATTGTGAGTTGTCCGCCCGATTTTGTGTTTTTGAGCCGGGAAAAAAAAACAAAAAAAAGAAGATTTAAAACGCAAAATCGGTTCTCTGAGGGGATTCTGACACAAGAAAAGTATTTTTCTCCCCTCGATCCGTCAAATAAAAAAATGGGGGATAATTGTTTAAAAGTTGTAGCTGCGGCAGCGACCACTAACAACGTGACAGGTGAGCGAGCGTGTCATATTTTTTTCAAGGAAGGAGGGAGCTACAAAACTTAATTTTTCACTAAATTGATGTCTCTGGAATTTTAACAAATTTTTTCTTTAGCAGATATTAAATTACTGTTACTTTCCTGACTCCTTTGCTTCTCTGATTATTTTCCTTGGAGTTAAAAGTCTTCTATAGAAGAGACAAGTCCCATTGGAACTTCCTTAAATGTTTTTTTTTTTTTTTTTAACTTTCTTTCACTCTTTAAAGTTATTAAAAAGTTGTTTCTTCTTATATTTTCCTTATTTCTTTAATTTTAACCTTTAAATAATGTGTTTATAAGTTGGGTTATAAATCTTTTCTCTCGTTTCTTTCTTTTTTTTAATTTTCTTAATATTTTTTATATGTGTAATGTTTACTTAAGTCAGAAGTTTCTTAGCAAATAAAAACATTTGGTTTGATGTTAATTGTTAACTCTCCATACAACGTTGATATTGACAAATTTTACGAAAAATAAACAAAATAATCCACTTGCTTAAATTAGCCTTCACGAATTTGTTCATTTTATTTTTATTTATTTACAAAAAAAGATAAAAAAAAAATCCCTCCCCTTTTCTTTCCCTAAACTTGTTACATTCATTACTTTGCTGTCTTATTCTGGTAGTTTGGAGAGCAATTTTTTTTTTTTTAGGACCCCGAGTAGATTACCAAACATTTTTCTTATTGATAAAAACATCTTAAACTTCTAGACTGATATTAAATATTTAACTTTTAAAATTAAATAATTCATTAGGCACGTGTTTTCTTCTTTTTGTTGTTGGCGCCACCCAAACTATATTTAATCAATTATTATTTTTCTTCCGCCGATCCCGCTTTGTTTCATTATTTTTCATTTAATTACTTAATTATATCTGATAAATCGATTTTAGTTTCGTTTGTTTGTATTTTTTCTTTAATGTTTCGATCGATCTGTTTTGTTTTTAAATGTTTTTTTGCGATTAATTTTTTTTTTTTAAGATTAAAAAAACTTTTCCATTTTTTTTTTTTCCCTTAAATATTCAACTCGAAAGGAACATCAGTTGATCGTTTTTAATTATTTTGTATTTGTTATTGTGTTTAATTTTATATTCTTGTCTATAATTATTTTATTTTTTTCATCTGTAGTTTAGTTTCTTTTAATTTTTTCTTTTCTTCTTTTGTGATATTGAAATAAGTAATGAAACTGAACAGTGTAATATATTTTAAATATGGCTTCTTTTTTCCTGGGGATTGTTTTCCATCTTGGAAACTTTTTTTGTCAGAATCACAAAGTTATTTTAGCGCCTTTATTAATATTTATTAATAAACTTTTTTTTTTTTTTTTTTAACTTTCTGAAGCAACTATTTATGTTATTGTTACATTAATTAAAACTTTATGTAGCTTTGTAAAAATCCATTAAATAAAAAAATGTTTTAATTCAATTTGGTTTTAAAATTATTATAATTAATTATTTTTAACATTTATAAGTTAAAATAAATTCAAAATTTGTCACTTGTCCCGTCCTAAGAAGCTGTTTGTATTTTAAGCTGTATCATAAATAAATGTATTCGTTGGTGTCAAAGAACGCAACAAGATTTGACTTGCCCCCTCCCCCGCGTTACACAATAAAAAAAGAAAAAAAATCAATCAAGAGTCAAGCGAGTCCGTGGGGTCAGTCGCTGCTAATTCTTAAAGAGGGAAGCAGTTCCAACTTTCTCCACAATGAAAGTTATCTCCCTTTGAACAACTTTGTCCATAAATTGGAACTTGGTTGTAATTTAGGTGTAACAATAGTTCCGTCAAAGTTTCATGTAGTTCTCTCTGTACGAATGCAAATTTGACACAAGTTCGGTTGAATGTTGCACCTACCCCACCAATCCGCTAGATGTAAATTTTTTGACGTTTAAGGCATCAAGGAATGATTGTGACACTCCCCCTTTGAGCACAAGAGGTGAAACCCTTCTTGAAAGGGCTCTAAATTCTTGAAATTGAGTTTGTCATCTTTAGTGCATTTGACCTTTTCCTTCAGAACGTTATCATGGTTTTGTGAATTGCCATGGTTTGTGGGGTGAGGGGAGATAGAATAGTTTCCTTCTCCACGGTTTTTAATTCATAGTTGTACCGCTAAACTGCTGCCACCTAAGGCTAGAGAGCCCAGACAGTGCTATTTAACCCATAGTTGAAGGGAGACTATTTCAAACAAAGGTTATATGGTTGTTATACTTCTTCCATTTGACATCTACATCATTTTGGGATAAAATGTTTTTTCAATGGTGTAGTGTAAAACTCGGTGTAACTGAGGACATTAGAGAAAAAAAAATTATGGCTATAATTAATGGCAAGTCTAAAAAGAAAAATAATTAAGCTGGCTAGTTTTTGTTCCACTGTCATTAAAGTTTGATCAAGGAAAATATGATGTGCAAATTTTCCTTGATCAAGCTATAAGAGGAATGAAATGATTTATTATATTTATTTTATTTTTTTTGTTGCCATTTATGATAACTGTATTATCTCTTTCTCCATTTTCCTCTTTTTAAAATTGTCTTTTAAATTAATTTTTTTTTGTCTCCAGTAAGATTGTAGACAATTGTTTTTTCTTTTTTTTCTTTTTTTTTTTTTTTTTTTTTTAACTTTAACAAAAATTATCAGTAACTTTCAAACAGTGTATTTAGGGAGAAAAAATGCATTATTCTCTTAATGTGTTCATCTAACATTTTATGTAAATTTAGCATAAGGAAATACTTTTTCTTTTTTTTTTTTCTCTCTCTTTTTTAATCTTTTTGTAGGAATAAAGCCAACTTGTTTCATGGATCCACGTTTTTCATTTGATGCCCCCACACTTGAAGTCCTTGTGTCAAAACAAAGCTAAACTTAGAAAATAACATAACAAATATGTACGCAAAATCTATGTTAATATGCTTGTACTTCCCTATTTATGGTGTGTGTCATGCTAATCCTATTGAAGTGTTTAGTGTCTGAGAAGGAAGCAGAAAGAGGAGCATAGAAAAAAACAAGAGAGGGTAACCTAGACACTGTGATACAAAGATAAAGACAATAGTTTGTAGTGAATGATTTACTTTCTACTGCTTATCAACCCATTGCGGGTTATTTAAAGCCATGAAATATTTTTAGATAATAAGGGTTTAGTGATTCAAGTTTTACTAATTAACCCATAGCTGGGTGGGGAAGAAGTGGGTTCATATCTTTGCACGTAAGTCAATATAACAGGCCTGACAGGGATTGGAGCTCAGCTCTCTGGTTAGTTTGATTAGTGTGGTTAAATTGTGTTTTGTGACCTAATGATCTGTTGAGAACATTTCAATATTTTCAACAGACTTTTCTGGGATTGGTCATGAATTTGAAAGTACAGAGTGCAGCATTAAGCCATTTATTAGCAAATCCATGTAATTTATATGGGTTTTTCTAGATTATATTATTGTTATAAACAAAGGCATCATGTTTAACTGGTACTGGAAAGAGGCTAGTATAAATAAAGATCAAGAAATTATATTTATTTCTTTGTTCTATATTGTTTGTAATGGAATAGATTCTTAAAAAAAGTTAATGAGCCTCAAGATTTTAACTTTAGTCTTCCTGTGTAGATAATAAGCAAAATACATTGGCTTTAAGCACTATACTATATTGGCAGCTAGGTCTCATCATTTAATCATAAGTCCTGTACTAACAGTTTATTATATCACACTTCTCCCTTATAGAATTCTTCTGGCCACTTACTTTCTGGTCAACTTTGATTTTCAAAAATTTAAATGCAATGTCCATCATTATCTTTTGTTTCGATTCATTTATTGTTCTTTCTCCTTTAAATTTTTATTTTTTTTATTTTTACATTTAGTAATCCCTTTTATCTTAGTGACTTTATTACCTTACTTGGGTTGAAATGAGTAAAAAAAAAGTAGATGTCCAAAGTTCACTTATTCACATTTGTCTGAATTCAACTGATTGCTGACATTTTGTAATCTTTGTTGAAATTAATCAGTAAACATGAAAACTTTTTTTTTTTTTTTAAATTAATGGCTATTCTTGACATCTTGATGAGAAAACTGCTTTTTGAAACAAAAAAGAAACAAATATCAGAATTGAAGATAAGTAGTTACCCTTTTGCACTCTGTAGGCAAATTCTTTCACTGAACAATATATTTGTCTTGTCACTATGGCTGACTCAATGTATGTTTGAATTTCTGGTTGTGTTATTTTCTGCTGTGGCAGCAGAAAATGACCTTGACTGAAAAGTGACTACTTCAGCTGAGCATTGAAAAAGAATGTCATAGAAGAGGCAATAATATTTATAAATAATCTGCTAAAGGTTAAAGCTGAGTAATGAATATTTCAGGAAAAGGTTAAAAAATTTCAGTTGACCCATAAAACATTTTGTATCTACCAATCTTTGTAATAGTTTTCTTTTCAACATTTAGGTAGTAATTACTTTTATTACTAATATTACTTTTTATCAAATACTTGCAGCCACTAATCCATTCAAAATTTTTAGTATTGAAACTCAAAATACTTCATTTTGAATTGTAATTATTTGCCAAACAAGTTTAAAATAAGTTATCACTAAAAGAGACAAAACACAGAATCTAAAAATGGAAACCATTTAAAAACGAAACTATAACTCTGAGCCTTTTCATTTTAGAATTTCTGATGAAGCTAAATAGAGAAACATGTCAAATCTATAAAGATTTCCTACTTCTCCTTATTCAATTATAAGTTATTTCAAACTATTTTTTTCTTCAATATGTCTAAAAAAATTTTTATGTAGGTATATAGAACTTGCAAAACATAAGAAATTGGTACAAAATTTATCTTGCTTGCTCCATTAGCAACTGAGTTATGACTATTCAAAGTTCATTGGATTTTCCATCTTGAGTGCAATTAGGCCAGAAGACCATTTTAACAGTGTATATGTGAAGATGCAGACTTCAGAAAAGTGAAAAATGTTTATAAATGCAATGTCATTAAGTTATAAAAGAAAAATAATACTAATGGACTTAATATTTATTAGATAAGACCTTTTTAAACAAGAGGGAATCACATTATGTACTAAAAACAGTGCAAAACTAACACAGGAAGGCAAATTTTGACCATTCATATCAATTTCAATTCTACAGTTAAGTCATTGAAACTTCTTAATGTTTCATAGTATCTTGGAGATTAAGCTAATTTTTTTTTTTTTTTTTTTTTTTCCATGGGAATACATCAATAAAACAACTTTTATTTCACCATGTAATTACGGGTGGAAGCAAAATTTGGTAGTAGGGTAAAAAATAGAACTTCTTGAGCTTGCTATATAAAAAAAGTATCTGGGGTGGGGTATAAGCTTGAAACTTTATCCATTTTGGGATTAGGAATTCAACAAAACAGTTATTTTGTCTATAATAAAAAAAATTTTCTCATAAATATATTTGATTATTTTTTTAAAATTTTGTAAATTTGTTCAATTTTTGATTTTTCCTGAAAAGGATCGACAACATCAAAACTTTGAAACATGTTATACAAAAGGAATCGGTGGTCAATTTTTCAAACAAATGCTTATTATAAAGCCTTAAAACTCAATTTTTAAATTGAAAAAACAAAACAACATTGAAATGAGTAAAACTACATTTATTGGAACTGATGAAAAAAATTTTCTTGGCAGTTTGAACAGCCCTACTGCATTTCCTCTCCTAATGGTGATTTGCAGTCTGAATTTCTTTATAGGCTTCTATAACCAATATTTTTGGAACATTCCAGAATCTACCATCAAACTGAAATTACACCCAAGTCACATCTTAAGACAAAATTTGATTCAACCTGTGCAATGCCACCCTGCAAAGGTCATTGGAAATAGTTTTTTCAACCCTTAGTTGGGGATAGAAACTTGATTATTTCACTGGTTGGAGATGTAATGTCAATGACTTGGCAAATGTAGAAACTGGGATCATAGTAGGTACCTCCACTATTTTGGCATAAATTTCTGATATCTAAAAGTTTAAGATGAATTTTTTAAAACGAAAAAACATTCTTGAAGATTTCCTTTTAGCTTTAATTGAAAGGTTAATGATTAAATTTATCTCCATTAAGTAAAATATTCTGGTGTATTTCAGATAGAAATTATATAGATTGGAATTTCAAATTTAATTTTGATTTCTTAAAAAAAATTTATTGATTTTTAAAATTTAAAAAAAAATACATGTATATTTCTAACACGGTATTTGAGTAAAATTAGAGAAGTTAAAGTAATCTTATTTGAAAGAAATATTACTTGTAGCATAAAAAAGTAATATACAACCAATTATTAATGATTGATCCTGTTCATCTGATCCAACTTTTAATGGACTGTTGATTGATGAAGAAATGATAGCTACTATGGATGACCTGAATTGATATAATTGTCAGAAATCTAAGTGAACGCATATTTTTGGTTTTTAACTACCTAACATATTTTCTGCAATTATTTAATATTTTATTGACTTTTATTTACCTTTGGAAGATGCAAAAATAAAAAAATTTAAAACACTATAAAGTTTTCTTCAATTAATTTTATAATTTAATAACAAATGAAGTACCATGATTACTCAATTGAAGTATGACCTCCACTATTGTAAATACATAAAATAAAAATATTTAGTGAAATAGTAATTGAAAACTTTAAATTTTAAACTTTTAAAGTTGAATAGAAATTCTGAAAATCTGTTGAAACGTAATTGCAGTGACCTAATAAAGGGACCAGGTCTTAGATCACGTGACCTTTTCATAATAATGGTAATTTCAGTCTACCATACATGAAAATAAGGAATGTATTAAGTAAAAAAAAAATACAAAATAAAAAAATTATTTTTAAAATAGAATGGTGTAATTGCATTTAATCTTTTCAATTTTGGATTCGTAAATTTTGTTTCCATTTAATTACTATATAACATCCAGAAAATAGCCCAATACAAAATTTTACATGATTTTACACTATTATAAATTATAATTAAAATTTAAAAGAAAAAAAATGACATTCTTGTAAAAATTCATTGTAAAAATTTTATTTCTTCAAACAATATTCATGAAATTAAGTAAGTGGGGAGTAACATGTAAAAGAAAAGAAAAAAAGTCTTAAAAATAATTTCATTCATTTGTAAATAAGTCCTAAAAATTTCATGAAAATCAGACAATTATTTGATTTTTACAAGAATTTCCAAATCAATGTGTTTTCAACGGTGGGGGGGGTAGTTAATGTTATTTTTATGCCACTGCAATGATGTAAGCAAAACAAGATTTTAACTAAACATTTTTGGAAAGGATTAAATAATTCAAATAATAATAAAAAAAAAATACTTTGGTCTTTCATCTTAATAACAAACATTTTGACAATAATATTTTATTTTTAAGTTTGTGAAATTGAAGCTCAAATCTGCAAAGTAAACTAAATACTGGGAATGCTGTGTAACAATGTGCTTGACTAGCACAACATACATCTGCCACTGAAACTCAAAATGCACTGTGCAATGATTCTCCCTTCTCCTCTATACATACAAAATCTGGGCCTTGTACCAGAGGCACATGAAGAAATTGGGAAAGTTCTACATACAGGCTTTTTCATTTCATACTTGGAATCACATTGTAAGATTGCATCACCAACCTTGAAAATTTGGACTGTGCTGATTTGACCAGCATTGAATTAATGCTCATCAAGGGACAAGTCCAATGAGCTAGCCATCTCTCATGGAGCAACATTGCATTCCTAGATTTCAGTTGTATGGAGATTTGCTATGTGGCAGAAAACATCAAGGCTGACCCTAGAAATGGTGCAAAGGAAATAGAGAAATATGCTGCCGACTGATTGCATTGATGTGCTATTATCCACCAAGCCTCACTGAACTTTCAAAGAAGGGTGGTGTCAAAAAAATCATTATTCAAAGAGAATAGTATCATTGTGCAGCTTTGCATTGGTCACAACCACCAACTTCACTTTCCCATTGTTCCAGACTCTGCACATCCAGACTTGGTATGTGAAGCTGCCTTCAGATCTGATAATGAAATACAAAACAAATTCTTCTTCATACATTAAAGACAGCCATGATGTGTGTAAATTTGTCTAGTTTAACTCTAGAACACTAACCATCAATTAAAGTTACACCACTACTAACCATGGGTATATCACCTGATTTTGAAAATATTAAATATAAATCTTTATTTGAAATATTTTACATGCAGGCACTTCAAACTTTGTACTTTGAGTTAACATTAATAGGAACTGAAAAACATTATTTAGGCAAGAAAATCAAGTACTGAAAATTGTAATTAAAAATAGGAAAATTTGTGCTGGGTACTATATACCCATGGTTAGTGTTCTAGGGTTAAAGAGCCATATCTGTTGAAAGCACAATTAAGTCTTACAATTTGTTGTGATGTGGGGTTTGGTAAGACACAACTCAACAGATTCAGTAGTACTCAGCTAAACAAGTCACTGTAATAGCATTATCTTCCTATCTTCTAGACAATTACCCAGAACTACTTATGAATGGATCAATCCATTCATTATAGTAAGGATAGTAAATGGCTGTTGCCATAGCACAATGATATCTTGTGATGGTCACATATTTGACAATGAGGTGAGAGCTGTCATATGTATATCTGTGTATGTTTTTGTCTATATTTTAATTGAAAAGAAAGAAGTTACAAATTTATTTTATTCTTTTTAGATTTCCCCTTGAAAATGAAGCCTGATGAAGGTGAAACTAGTGGGACCAAGAAACTTATGCAAGGTAAATTAGGGTGTGATTTAGTAAAAATGTACATATCAGGAATGTAAAAATATTATGTGTCTATAATTTTTTTTTCAATATTAACATATTCATTTTCATAAGACCTTTAATAAGCACTATATTTTAGATTCAATGAATTTTTAAAAACTGTGTGTGTGTCCCATTACCGATTTGGCCACAGGAGACCATTAATTGAGCGGTTTGCATTCTTTAAATACGTAATGGAGGCACCGTTCAGTAATGGATTAAGAGATTAGAGAGCTGAGTTTGAATTTCAGTTGAATTCATTACATTCACTTACTTGGGAAAGGTTTGAATCCATCTCCCCAGTTATGGGTAAATAGCAGGACAGACTGGGTTCTATAGCCTTGAGTGGCAACTGATCTAGGAGGACAACTCTGAATTCAAAACCTGAGGAAGGTCGTTTGGAGACCTTGTGGCATACTGCACACCAGTTCTCTGTATTCTGCTCTTCCAAAAAGTGGTTGGTTCTGCACAAGCCTTCACCACTAGAATCAAAATGATATGTGTGGGCTAGTCTGACTGTTGGTTCTAAGAACTGAAATGCTTGATCCTCATACATCGAAAATGACGGAAGAGTCCAGCATCTATAAATAAAGAGGTATATTTAGGCAGCAAGTGTTCATCCAAACAAGTTTGATTAAAAAGAGCTGACAAGGTCTGTCCAATTCATTTTTTTTTTTTTTTTTTTTTTTTTTCTTCCAATTTTTGGATAAGATGTTGAGTTTTGTGCTCTAAGTTGTGGATAAACTGTCAAATGTTCGTATTTTTTTTTTTTTTTTTGTTATTGTTGGCTATTTTTGTTAAAGTACTTTTGGCTTCTGCAGTCATCAAGAACCAATGTGATGTCTGTGTGGTAGTTAGAATTCCTCCTGGTATTCTTTGGGAAGCTGGATGTTTGAAATGGTCTTGTGTAACAGCTATTGGGAATGGGGCCCACACAAAAAATGTGATTTATTTTATTTAATTAATAAAAATAAATGTTTTATACAAATATAAAATGTGTGTGTGTGTGTGTGTCAACAGTATTACAACTGGTCTTTTTAGATGTATTCTTTGGAGATACAGACACACACCATAGTATATTATTGTTTATTCTCAATTTTTTGATCAAAGCCAGAATAGTGCTTTTGGACACATATCTTCCCAATTCTTGAAATATACATATCTGCTTTGTTTTGTATCCTAGCATGAACAAAGACAATTTTTTTAGGAAATGGATTAAATCTGACAGATTTTTAATTTATTTCAATTTTTTACAAATTGAAATTATTTAAAAGAGTGAATAATCTGTACAACTATATAAATTATGTTTTGAAATTGTATTAGAAAATTTGTAATGGATTATTTTTTCTGAATAATGAACAATTTTCTATTTTTTGAAATTTTCCTTAATTTAAAAAAAAAAAAAAAAAATCTCAATTTGTACAGTTTCTAAAATAATTATGTATTGGTTTTATTTGATTTAAATAATAAAGGATAATTATCAAACTGTGTTTGTCTTGCTATTGTTAATGTTTTTTTGTTAACATAATTCTCTGGCTTTTCTTTTAAGCTCGCTTACCCTTCAAGCCTCTTCATCAGAAAGTTGGTAAGCCTGCTGTTGCTAATCCTAATCCTAAGAAAAGGAAATTAAATGAGCAGGATACTGGTGCTGCTAAATTTCCCAAACTTCTAAAATCTCTAACTGAAAATAAAAGCAAACTTAATACCAGCCATGACAATAGTGACATGGAAGTGTGTGATGGAGTCATATCAAGCTCAGAATCCGGAAACACTTCAGTTTCTTCACAGCGAACTGTCAAATCACACACCTTGGATAAATTTTTCTCACCAAGAAATGTTCAAGACGAGATCATCTCCAGTTCTACAAATGATTACGTGGATTTGACAAAATCTGATGGTGAAGAGGAAGTGCAAGTTGAAGACAAGATAGAAGAAAGTTCTGAAAAGGAAAAAGAGAACAAACTCTCTGATGCATTTAGTGAAGATGCTAATTTCACTTGCCAGATTGAAAATAAGGTGAAGACGAACTCATCAAGCAAACCTGCACTTAGCACCAAGATTCTCAGAGAAAAATATGACCGGACTGCTTTACCCCAGAATAAATTAATGGCTGAGGTGAGAGTGGTCCTTGAAGATGTTGCATTATGTGATATCCCAGGCTATTCTACACCAAAGTCTCTCAAGAAATACCTTAATGATTCAACCAAATCATCAAAATCCATTGATTTATCAAGTCCTATTAAAGGAAAAGAAGATACTGGTTCGGGGCTTGATAACTCTCTTGTGTGTGTTACACCTGACAATGAATTTTGTGAGACTATGTCCACTTCTACAACTAGCAGTCATTCAGAAACTGGTGTTTCAACACAGTCTCCCCATGCATCTGAGCCATCAGGAACACCCAAAACTGTTCGTGTTAAAACAAAGGTAAGAGAAATGCAATGGTATAAAAGGATTTATAATTACCTAAATAAACATACGCCATATATATATATATATATATATATATAATGTGTGTATGTTTGTCTTTCTGTCATTGTATAAAGACAAAATGGCTGTAAAAATTGCCCTAGACAGAATTTTAAAAAGGAAAACGATTTTAAAGTTCTGTCTAAATTTCACACATCCATTTTACAAAGAAATTTTAAATATTATATTTTATGATCTACTTCATACTTTTTTTTTTCTTTTCTTTATACAAGTCCATTCTCCTGCTATATGAATATATAAATAGAAAAATATTTAAAACAATTCTTGAATTTAAGTAAAGCTCTATTTGGAAACTATTCTTTTGCAATACCTAAGGTTTAAAATAAAAAAAATCTTTCTTGAAGCTTTTATTTTAGTTTTAATCTCAAGCTAATAGATTAACTAATATTTCCAATGAACCCATGGAGAATTATAATTGTCTGCAGAGATAAATTAAAAAAAATTCTCAGGAACTTAATTTTCATGACAAAAGATCTGTTTAAATTGCATATCAGAATTTATCTAATACAATTAGAAGAATCAATATTAATATGAAATAATTTATTATATATAATATATACTTTCTTACCATGGAAGAAGACTTCCTAATGTTATAGGTCTGGAGGGAGGGCGATCCCGGCGTGTGGCACCTTTGGAAAGTACCTGAAAACCATGCCATAGTTACAGTATAAACCACAGGTTGGCTTTGTGGGTATTGAACAAACACAAATGCGCCTGAGCGAGCGTCTGCAATAGGGATTGGCTACCCATCTTAATAGATGGGTATCCTCAAATACGAGTGGCCAGTTATTATATATATATATATACACACACACACGAGGCAGATATTTGTGTTTGAATCTTTATTTCTTGATAAACAAATTTAACTATGAAAAATGAACAAATAAAATTTGTCATTTAAAAACCTACACATTTTAAAATTTAATAAATTTACAATTGTTAAAAAAAAGCATTAATATCATAATATAAGGTTTGTACAGGTCCTGGAAACCTTGAAAATCAGAAAATTGACAGGGCTTGAAAAGTTGTGGAATTTTCAAAATTTGGCTACCCTCACATACCTTTTCTCAATTCATGAAAGTCAAAATGCCAAATCCCAGAAAACTGCCATTTTTACAAACAAAAATTGTCCTTTAAGAAAAATTTTTTTTTTTTTTTTTAGTCATCAGTAATATTTGACAATTATTGTGAGCAGTGGTTTGTTTCCTTGATTGAAATGAGTTCATGACCTCATAGTTACTTCTGTATTTTCTTCTCTACGTGACAAGAAAGAATATGAAGGTGTGACTTCTAGCTGCTACCCTCGCTCGACTAGAAAAGTGGAAAAGCAAAGATAAATTAATTCACACTCATTGAATTTGTAGTTGAAAGGAAAATAATTATTTTACAGTAATAAAATACATTTTAGTAGAATCTCGAAAAATTTATCAGTGTTTTTTAAAATTTGAACAATTGAAATTTTATTCACATGTCAATTTCAAAAGTAAAAAGTCCTTTTGATCTCTAGTCAGTGGTGGGTGAGTTCATGCTGAAAAATAGATACTTTACCTGTCCCATGTCAATGTGTAAACTATGTTTGTCTAAATTGTTACTAAAAGTAATAAGTTTGAGAATCAAATTTGACTCGTAGGAAATGTGTCCTTGAAAAAAAATAAGAATGTTATTTTTAAAGTTTGCAGGCTAATAATGGCCTATGTCTCTAGCTTTTGTAAGTGTAAAAAAAATGGTGACAAAAAATTTTAACATGTTTGACTTTATATTAAACGTTCAATCTGGCAACCTAGTGCCTTTTTTTTTTTTTTTTTACTCTTGTATTTCTGCCATAGATGGCTAGAAAATTTACAAACATCTGAAGGACTCCTAGACATTTGGCCAGATGTAATCAAATTTGTGAACTTAATTAAAAAAAAACAACAAAAAATGTCCTCAGACCAAGTTCTTCTCTGCGTTTTATTTCCATTGAAACTGCAGATTTTTGTGTCTATCAAAAGACATTGGACCGTTTCTGATAAAATATCAGTGATAAACCATTGCTTCCTTTCCTCGCAGATGATCTTTTTATCATGATCATGAAACTGTTACGATTTGTAAAGGAAGAGCACACTAAAATGAGAATTACTTTTTCCAAAGTGAAAGAATCAATTTGTAAGAATTTTGTCAAATCCAAACATGTTTAAAGATGCTGCAAATATAGTGTGGATTTCTGGCAGATAGGGCTATGCAAAATTTATCTAAAAAAGGAAATATGTCAACAAAAGATTTGTTTGTATGCAGAATTGTAACGATGTTCATTACAATCACTGAGAAACTTTGAAAATCTCCCCTTAGATCTGAAGGTGTGTATTTCTCTTGTAAGATCACTTGCATGGCTGAACCCTGGATCTGTTTGTGGAAAAAAAAAATGTCACAGAAGACAGTCTAAAAAGATGTCTTTCCCACATGATGGATAGAAAACAAATCAGCAAATCTGATTGTGACGACATCATTAATCAGTACAAAGAGGTTGAGGAGGAGACTGCTGGAAATATAGCTTTCAAGAATTTTAGCAAGACTGTCTGGACACTTTGTTCTACTCTGTCTAGCAACAAAGAATATCAAAAACTGTGGAAAGATGTTCGCATGTTGCTGGTACTCTCTCATGGACAGGCCCCAGTGGAGAGAGGTTTCTCAGTCAATAAGGAAATTTCCACTAACAATATGAAACAGCAGACTGGTAGCACAGTGCATTATCATGGATAATTTGGCCACAGTTGGAGGTGATAGGAATGTTCCCAGACTAAGGCTCTTCTCTGCAGTATTTCCAATGCTAGAACAGCATAGAACCAGTACCTTGAGGCTGAGAAGAAAAAAGTAGGAAGTAGCAGCTGGACAAAAATGAAATCATGCTTATGGAAATTGAAGAACTGAAAATCCAAAAACACAAGCTTGAAAGTTGCACACAAGATTTGCTCAAGTTAGCTGACAGCTATGTAGAGAGAGCTGAGCAAACTCAGAACTTAGCATTTATTGCAAAGTCCAGTGCCATGCCAAGATCTGCAGAGGACAAATCCATAGAGATTTCAAAATTGGAAGAGGGGCTGAATGCTGAACTAGATGAACTGAAAAAAAAAATGTTAATATCATTGTGTCCTCTGCCTTGTGCAGCAGTCAAGAATTTTCTGACATTTACAAACCATGAGTAGTCTAGATAGCTGAAATGTGTATGAGTAAGAATTAGTGTGTAATTCAAAATTTTCAAGTGCGGTAGAATTCCAAACTGTAGAATGCTACACAAGATGTATGACATAAATAGGTTGCATTCAATTGTGTTTTTAACTTTCAACGCTTGGATTTCTTCATTCCTTTTAGCTGATCCATGTGACATGAATTATTGAAGCCAACTGTAGGTTTTCTTTGAACATCTGTCAAACTATTAAAAAAGATAAACCACAAAGTTGTTTTTTGAAATTGATGACCATTCACTTTGTGTGCCAATTTCAATCCTTGAAACTTAACATAGTCCTGGAAAAGTATTGGAATTTTTTTTACACAGATCTGTGGGAACTCTGGAAAATGCAAAAGTCAAAATTATTTGCTAAATGTCAAAATTTAAAATTCCAACATATTGCTGTCTTTGCAACTTTTAAAAAAAAATTATTTAAGCAATATTGTAGGTTTAGGGCATGTAAAAAGAAAAAAAAACACTAAATCTTTTAATTAAAGCATATTTCAAATGTGTTCTTGATCATGCTTGAAATATTGAGTTCCAAAGGGTTTGATTATTGAGAAATAAAGCAATTTATCAAGTCATTATCTATTATTTAGTAAATTATTTTAATGAATGAAAACTTATTATTCATGGATGATCAATTACATTTTCACATTGACATTAGCAAAAATAACTGAAGTCATCTTTTGACTGGTTCAGTTTGTTTTGCATAATTATCCACCAGTAACATATTTGTAATTTTGTTTGCATGGGCAGATATACTATTGAACAGAAGCTATTATTTTCTGCTTTCATTACCTATAATTTGTAATAATTTCTGTCTGATTTTTCTGGGATGAGGAGTTACCATTATTTACATGTAGATTATTATAAAAAACCTGTAAAAAGTCTGAAAAAACCTATGGCTCAGAGCACCTCCTCATTCAATATGGCCTCAGTTGATGATATTAAGTAATGCAATAATTAAATGTCCCCAAAATGTCTTTTGTAAATGGTCATTAATCCAAATGTTATTCAATTTGATATGTCTAAAATATAAATCATTTTAATGTAAAAGTAATCTTCTATCCACTCAGCAGTAAAATATAAATAGAAAAGAGTTCAACCTACTTTTCACTAAGTCCATTGAGATTAGTGTTGGTATTAATTGGGAATAATGAAATAACATTTTATTTACAATTAAAATTGAGAAAGCTGGGCCAGAAAAAATATAATCGCGATGATGATAATAAAATCTATAACCTTTTTAAGAAAGACTTAATTTGATGGGGTTATATGCATTTGTGTTATACAGTGCCAGATTAAAAGAAAATGCTTTGTACTGTTTGCATACAAAAAACAAAAAGATGATTTTAGTTAACCTATATTAGGTATCTGTTTCAACCAGCAAAAAGATTGAGGAAATTGGGATTTTATAATGTGTCTCTGAAATTGAGAAAAGGAAACTTTCTCTTTCCATAGAATGGAACATCTAAAATGGGAGAAAAACATTAATACAATGAGTTCAGTTTTCTGAATAATTTGGAATGATACACTTTCAGATGTTACTATATAAGTTATTAGTTTTACAATAAAATTGGATTGGTATTAACCAACCAATATTGAGTGAAATACTTATGTGAGTGATTATATCATTTGAATTTCAGCTTGCAATATTTGTCCTTAATAAAAATATTGAGAATTGTTTTAGAAATTTAGTTTATGAAAAAAAAAATGAAGCTCACACAGCAGTGAGTGTGGAAAAAAAAAAAAAAACTTGAAGTGTTCTATATGAGCTTAAGTAAATAAAATGTCGTCAATACAAACTTTCTTCAAGAAATTTAAATATTTCAGATTAATTTAGTACAAACTAATAATAATATTTGAGTGCTACTTGAATAATTGAGTGAGAAATCAAAGATCATAACATTTTCATTGTTAACAGCTAAACACTCATAAGAGTAGAAAACACAGAAAATTGTTTTATTATGGGGAAAGAAAGGTGTATTTTTATTTTGCAGTAAATCTAAAATATATAAACCAGAGAAATATTTGATTAACACAATATCCAATATACTACATATATATAAATTACTTAACATAATATAGGCGTCTGGACATTTATATAGCAGCATTCATCAATATTTCAATCCATTGATTTTTGTTAACTTTTCTACTTGAATATTACTTACTACAGTTTTTATGCTTATGAGATCTTTGCTTGAATATTATTAAAAAGTCCATCCAAATACCACTTCCCATCTTAATGAAATAAGGTGACAAGATCAGCAAAAATAAAAGACCATTTAGTAATTTTTAATGCTGTAAATTAGAAAGTAGAGTGATTTCAAATTCATTATATGGAAGTGAAAATCTCTGCTTAAGAAAAATGCTTCTATAATCACAACTTTAAAAAAAAAAAAAGAATTATTGGAAATAAAGACAACTTTAAAGCTAACTGTTCACCCAAATCTATGAATGCATTTATGCTACTCTATTTGTTCTTAAATGCCAGTCAAATATGGAAAAATTGTCAACATTAACTTTATGGCAAATTTTAAGTATTCATTTCAATTTTAAGATGAGTATTATTTAAATATTTTTTTATTCAGTTTTTTAAAAAGTATTCTGTCACTCACTCTAAAGGTTTCTTCTACAAAGAAAAGCCAACGAGATGCCATACGCCAAAAAGTAAAGGATGAAAGAGAACGTGAGCGATTGCAGAGGAAACAACAGAAAGAAGCAGAACGGCTTGGGAAACTTGAACTGAGAAAGAAAGAAAAGGTAGTAAATTATTACTTTTATATTTATTTTGTATGTTTTATAACAATATTTGTCACTTAGCTGATTGAAGTTATATTCAGCACCCCAACTGTAGTTTTATAGATGAATTTTATTTTCTTTGTAATTGAACAGCCTACTTGTCAGGAGGTATCAGCAATTGACAGTTGATTTTTCTCATTTTTGTTATTTTTATATCAAGTTAAAAAATAATTTATATAAAAATGGACACTGAGATCAACACTCAGCAACAACAGTGTGTTTCATGCTTAAGTGCAATTTTGCTGCCCACAATGCACCCTTGACCATCATATATAAATAGTTGAATCAAAACAACACATGGCCTGAAGATTGTGAGATGGTTTTGACCTGTGTCCTCTTTTAAATTATTTACATATGCTCTATCCATAATATTGAGCACTTTTACACATAAGTATAGTGCACCTCAAAACTATATTTTTTTTTTAATATAAATGTGTGTGTGAGTATGAGACCCTTCTAACTACTAGCCTATTAGTTTTCTACCTTTTTGGGGCAAATTACTAGAGGCCCTAATCAACTCTGAATTGGTTAAACATCTCACACTTTCTTTCAGACAAGCAATATGGCTTTTGCTCCTCTAGGTCAATTGCTGATGTTTTGATTATTGCTGAAAGAGTCTATCAAACTTTAGATAAGAATAGTGAAGCTCTGGCTGTTTTGGATATCTCAAAGGCATTTGACAGGGTTTGACATACTGGTCTTGTGAAAGGTATTGGCATTTTTTGATGATTTTTTTTTTAGGGCTGATTTAGTCTTTCATATCAAATCACAAAACAGTTGTCCTGAACGAACACTCTTCTAGATCTTTTTGTATTAATGCAGGTGTCTCCCAGGACTCTATTCTTGGACCTACTTTGTTCTTAATTTTCATCAATGCCCTTCTTGATGGGATCAGTTCTCGACTTATCTTTGCTGATGACACAACCATTTACTCCTGTCTCGATAGAAAGTCTGATCAGTTTGATGTGGTCAAATTGCCAGCTGATTTCCTAAATGACCTACAATCTGCTGTTAACTGGGGCAGGCTTGTTAATTTTAATCCCTACAAAATTAAACTTCTCTTTTCTTAATCATCTGAGAAACTCCTTCCTGTTTCCCATCAGCATGTCTGATGCTAACCTCCAGGAGAGTGACTTGTTGTACATTCTTGGTATGACATTCTCAGCTGGCATGAAGTGGAAAGATTATATTGACTCCATTGCTAGGTCTGCTGCTAAGAAAGTTGGTTGTGTGTCGTGCCGGACAACTTTTCTCTTCAGAATCTATCTTAGAGTCTACTGTTCGTCCATGCTTTGAATATTGCTGCCACATATAGTCCAGTGCTCCTGCTATATATTTAGATATTCTTGATAAAATCTAAAGAATCAGCATTACTAGGGGTCCTGATCTTGCATCTCAGCTTCAGTCACTTTCTGATTGCTGTAACATTCCTTGTATCTTTTCTATAAATACTTTAATGGTAATTGTTCTGATGAACTTTTCTCTATGGTACCTAAACTATGATTTTAAATGTTGCTGGCAACAAGGTCTCTTCAATTAACAGTTGAATTGGCTAGTTGTTACCATAAGTTCTATGCTAACAGTTTCTTTTCTCTTCTCACTTGTGAAGTTCTCTACTGGCTCCTTGCTTTCTGGCCAACTTTGATCTTCAAAAATTTAAATGCAATGTCAGTTGTTATTTATTGTCTTCTTGATTACTCTTCTATTGGTCTTGCTCTTAAATGTTGTTTTTTTTTTTTTTCATACTTAATAACCTCTTGTATCTTAGTGGCTTTACTGCCTTGCTTGGAATGAAATGAATAAAAAAAAATATATGAAAGTGGAGAGAATATGATCAGCTTTCAGATTTGATTTAGAAATAATAAATCCTTATTCTAATATTCTGCCCACAACTTCATATCTTGCTTTCATCTGTCTTGTGAATCTTTTTTTAAGGGGAGATGTATAAGTTTGTTAAACTTCTTATATTTTATATATATATATATATATATATATATATTTAAAATAAAAAATTGTGTGTGTGTGTATATATATATATATATATATATACACACACACAATTTTATTTATTTTTTTTTTTTTTACATTTAGTATTTACTAGATGTCTCATGTTCCCTAAAATAGTAACATATGTCAAACCAGGACTCATATATATATATATATATATATATATATATATATATAAATAAGTGCAACAGAAATACATCTCACATGATAGTAAGACATTAGCTAGAGGAAGTGAAGACACTGTTGCCACTAATGTCTCTTATGTAGAGTGTATTTATGCCTATATATAATGAAATTGTTACCAGATCTTGTATGGAATCACTGTTTTAATATTGTTGGCCTTTAAATTAAAGAAATATGGTTTCTATTCTCCTCACATTCTAGGAAAAAAAAGAACAAGAAAAGCAGCAGTTGAAAATCTTGAAGGAGAAAGAAAGGCAGGAAAAGAAAGAATTGTTGGAGAAAGAACGTCAAGAGAAAGAAAAACTTAAAGAAGACCAGCGCAGAAAGAAACAAGAAATAATTGAGTGAATTTTCATTTTCTTTTCTTTTAACAACTTCAATAACAGTCTCAATCTTGTTTATATTTTTAATATAATTTATTTTAGTATCACGCAGACTATGGCTTAATACCATCATTTTCTATCTCTCTGCTTAATTTAATACTTTTTCACATAGTTTTGTTCTCTGTATATTTTTCTAGGTATAGGACTAGCTGTCCTTAAAGAACATGCAATGTTTTATCTAAGAGCTTGGTTCAAAGGGTTACATAACTTCACAAGTATGCCAGTATTTTTAATTGACATCAAGTGCTGTTAACTTCGTTATTTTCCTTGTAGTTAATTAGCAGTATATTTTCAATATTTTAATGTTTTGTCTTCACTTGCAATTGCTTCTCTCTCTCTCTCTCTCTCTCTCTCTATATATATATATATATATATATATATATATATATATATATATATATATATATATATATATATAATAGTTTATTAAAATCACTTATTTCTTTGACTATAAATTTTAATAGCCATTTTATATGGTTAGAAACACTCATATCTTTTTAACTGGATTTCTTGTTTTTACTTTGAACAACCTGACTGATTTCGTATTTGTTTGGATTAAAGCGGTGAATCTTTTTTTAAGGACATTGTCAAATTGACTAAACTGAACAAATTCCTTATTAAATTCCCTAATGTCAAGTGAAAACTCTGAATGCCATAAGCCAACTTTATGAATAGTAAAGCTAATCTTTTATTTCATTTAATAAGATGATAATTGTCTAATTAAAAAAATGTAATTATCTTAATTTGCTATTTTCTTGGAAAACCAATGTCTTATTAAAAATGTTGATCAGTGAAGCATTTGTATTTATTTTGCCACTATTTCTATTTTTAAAAAATCAACATTAAAATTTCTTTCTAAGTGCTTAATGTTATAGACACATTTTTATAAAAGCAAGGATTATAATTTTGTTCTTTCCCAGAGCCAAACAGGAAGAGAAACGAAAAAAGGAAGAAGAGAAGAAATTGAAAGAAGAAGAAAAAATGAAAGAAGAAGAAGAAAAAGTAAGTTGTTTGATTGAAACATTCATTACTTTTTTTTTTTTTTTTTTTTTTTTTGTATCTCAAATATTTATTTGACACTCCTCCCCACCTTATTAGCTAAATCCTAACTCTGACTTGAAACGAAAAAAAATTTTTTTCTTGCAATTATGAAAAATTTTAAGATTAATAGAAAATAATAATAAAAAAAATAATAGAATGCTACTTGGATTATTGAGTAAGAATGCAAAGATCATAACATTTTTTATTGTTAACAACTAAACACTAATAAGAGTAGGTGATAGAGAAAACTACTTCTGTTAAATATTTAATAAATAAATATTTGTTATCTGGTTTATTTATAATATGGCTGTATCTTAAAAGATTTGCTTTAAAATCCAAAAGCTTTTTTTCACTTTAAATTATTAAGAAAACTTACCAACTTGGCATTTAATGGCAAGAAAATTTAATTGCCATTTATTTTTATTAATTACCTCTAATTATCAGCTTCGAAAACAAGAAAGAACCAAAGCTGCTTTCCAGAACTATTTTCTCCTGAAACCAAAGGAAATGTCAAACGTCAAGGTAGGTATAATTTCTATGTATGTAAACTTAATTAATGCCTAATTATGGAATTGTATCAGATTAATAAAAACTAATTATCAAGACATATCAGAGGAACATTTGACACAGATTTTTCCAATTTTAAAAATACTTTACTTAAAATCTATTTTAACATTAAGTTAATTGCAATTTTAAAAAAAAATTATCTTCAAGGTTCAGAAAATGGTTTAATTTTAATATTCATTTGTTGAAGTCCATAGTAAGGAGCACCACTTATTTATTAATCTCTTTAAATCAACTGATGAATAAAGTACTGTTTATTAAATATCACCTTCCTATTATTTGCCTTGAATGATCAGACCAATATATTCTTAGTACTAAATTTGAATTGGTTTCTAATTATTAATTAGAAAATAGTGAATAAGTACATCTTTGATTTTATGCTGAAACAAACTTTGAAAGTTTCTGAATTTAAAGTTTGATTTGATTTCAAACAGTGGTTAGGTTTTTGCACATTCAGTTTGAGCCAGTTTATAAACTATTAAATTCTGGTTCAAATTGGTTTGAAACTGGCTCTAAGCAATCTCATGACAGATTCACAAACTAATAGTGACCTATTCAAAACCTGGGAGTTTCCAGATCACAGAGTACTGGATTAGAGAAGGGCAACTGTATTAAAAATCTCATTTCTTGATATTTTTGTTAAAATCCCAAAATACTATGAAATTTAAATTGAATGCACAGTGAAATTTTGTTAGTAAATCAAATTGGTGTTTCAATTAAGATTTTCAGGTAGTTTCTTAAGTTTTCTATTTCAGATGTAAATTTGTATGCATTATTTTTTCTTTTCTTTATAGACTAAAGAACATTCTGGTTTATTCATGCCATTTGAAGTGAAAAATAATATGCGAATGGCACCATCTTGCAGAAGATCAACTACAGAAGAACTGACAGAAAATTTAGACGCATTAATGAGCACCCAGGTTTGTCCTTAACCCTCCTTTTTTTTCTTCATAAATAGGGTTGTTTTGAATTAAAAATCAGCATATTCCTTTATAAATAAGAATATTTGTCTACTAAGCAAGGATCTTAGTTTTAATAAATGTTACTTTTCATTTAGAATTTGAAGCTGATACAATTTTTTGTTAAGAATTAGATAAATTTAAAAAAAAAAAATTTAGAAGCAGCATTATTTTCTAATTCAATTTTCAAAAATATTTTTCTATATTGCAATGTGCATTACCGTAACATTAAAGCTAAACTTATGATATTTGTTGAATATTAATTTCAATTTAAATATAATTAAGCAATTAGATATTTCAAGGATTTAGGTATATTTTTTTATTGCTTTGTTTAATTGCATGTTTAAATTAATTAAAGAAGAGACTTTTTAATATTTGTGTTCAATTAAAATGCTCATGTGGCAGAAACAAAGAATACTTTTCTTTTTTTTTTTTTTTTTTTTTACTTCTAATTTTGTGTGTGGGTTTCCAACTCTGCATGATTTATTATGGAAACAATTTTTTACAGCAACAGTTTGAAAAAACAATTTATGTATACAAGGGGAAGAGATTTTAGTCCACTCTACTTCCCAAATCTAACCAAACAGATTTTGGTCAGGCCGAGATATTCTCAGTATCAAATTCTGTAGCTATCTATTCTCATAGTTCATTGAGTTTGAATTGTGACTAAAAAAAAAAAGAGCAGTAATCTGAAGAAAAAAAATAAGTAAAAATAAATAAAATAAAATTTAACAAATTTATGCAAATGAAGATGATGGCATATCAGGTGTTGAAGAAGGGAAATTAAGAAGGTAAACTATATCATTAGATTTGAGCTTCTATAAAAGAGTTTGGTCTTGAACAGACAGGCTTCCTAAGGAAAATGTTTTAAAAAGTTTTAATTGTTCTTATGGCATGTTCTTTAATGTAGAATGGCTGCTTGAGAGTTTCAATTAAAGTAACAAAAATAAGATGAAAGAAATTACTAAAAACTAATAAAACTGTCCATTTTCTTGTCATATCTTATACAAGTTGCCAGGAATATTTTCTTAGCTTTTCTTTTATATTTCTAATTCATTGATGAAATAATTAGCAAATTGTTGTAATATTCTTGTTTTTATTTCCTACAGAAACATGATACTCTGTATTTGGAGGAGCTTAGAACTGGAAGATTTACACCAAGAAAATCTCTAAAGACTTGGCCAAAGTTAGTAAAACTCGTTTAAATTTCCCAAATTAAGTAATGTTGAATGTTTAATTCAGTGGTTCCCAAATGGTGAAGAGGAAGAGGATACCAGGTGAGGCAGAATAATTAGGAGACAACCAAAGATTTAGAAACTGTTTCATGTATGAGTCCCAGTATAAATATCTATATAAATGAAACGCAGTGTACGTGTGTCCGGTGTTTGTTTTTTTGATCTCAGTGAATCATATGCAACCCAAAGTAACAGGTAGTAACTACTGTAGTTACATGCAATTTAAAAATTAAATAAGTCATTTAAATATTGGACAGTGAAAGATTTATAAAAACAATTCTTCATTAATTTTAATTTCGCTTTTCATCGCAATTGCAATTGATAGCATCTAATTATAAAATTGTAATTAAAACTTAAGTGTACTGTGGCATATTCGAAATTTTACATAGTTCGGGTTCCTTAATGTCTTTTAAGAGTGACTTTATGTGAAGGGATCATAAAGAATGGTGATTTTTAAAAGAAAAAAAAAAGAAAAATTGCACGCCAAATAAATATCAGCAAACTACGGAGATTGGTTGCATATATGAAGAAAGATTATGCCGAATTAAGGTGTTGAATAAAATTCTATTATTTCTAAGTTTTTATAACTTTTACATACATAGGATACTGAAGGTAAAAGGCTGAAGGCTCAAAGCCCTCCATAGGAGCTAAAGTCCGTCCGAAGGGCAGCATCCAGGATAGTTTCTAAATATTGACTGATTTTATCATTGTGATATTCTTGCATTGTATGAAGTATTAAGATTATATTAACTAGGGTCTGCAAATTAAAGGAGAGAGTTATCAATGATAATGTTCTGACTTTGAATCCATGGTTATCTCCTGTTAACCCTTTTTTTTTTTTTTTTTTTTTTTTAATGTACTTTTTATCACAAAATTTGGTGAGGCATGAGCAAATTTTCATTCTGAAAATGTGGCACAGAAAAAAAATTTGGAAACCACTGGCCTAAATGATTTTAATTATTACATTTGTTAACCAGTTTTTTTATTGACACATTTTTGGCTATTTTCTGGTAATGAAATACTTATCTTTATTATTGCATGACTCATTTAGCTAAATATTAGCAATCTTTTGGTTACATATTTAAAGTGTTTTATTGATAAGTTCCAACTTAGTAAATGAGCAGCTGTAGAAACTTGTATTCAGAAACTGACAACCATAGTAATCAACTAAATATGACCAATGAGTATTTAATGTGTATTACCTGTTTCTGTGTTATGGTTGAACTATTTGCTTTTGATCAAAATTCAAAATTAGAGTAAATGGAATATGACAGAAATGATTACTGACCATCCTTATGTAAATTATTATTTTAGCTTTTAGGAATGTTGCACCATTAAGACATTGTTGAAAAGTATTTATGCATGATTATACAATGACTTATATCTATTGTCAATTTAATTCTAGCACTGAAAATTCAATTACCCTTTACCACACCAAATTCCTTGTAGAATTGTTCTCCCTGCCATTGAATTCTTTTTGATCTCACAAAATATGAGCACCTATGTTTTAAAATTGTTATAACTTCCTTTGTATTGTGTGTATAGATTTCATTTTTTGTATGCTAATAAAAGAATGGATGAGGAATATTTTGATATAATGCATTACGTTTTGCATGCATATTTTGACACTGAAAGCAAAAAAAAAAACATTGAAGCACAGTGAAAAACATACATTAATAATTTCACATACTTCAACATTTCTTGCTTGTGGTGTTCTGGGGGTACAGTCTACTTTATAGTCTATCAGACTGGAACCTCTGAAAGCAGGGGTATGGGCAGAGTGGCACATCACACTTTCTCCACATGAACTGTGTCTGGTGGCACTTCTTTTTTCTGTTTGAATAAACATAACAATCTGGGTGAGATGGCCTTCCATATTTTGGGCACTTGGGGTTGATCACAAGGTTGTGTTCTGTTAACACTAGCCTTTCGGGGTGGGGGGTATTTTCAGTCTTCCTACCTCTCCTGTGAGACACACCTGACTCGTAGCCTTCCATCAGGGAATGTACAATGCTCAGCCTGAACTTTTTAGCATTGACTTGGCAAGCTGACTTTGCGTTATAGATGACCAGGGCATTGCAGAAGCAGAGTTCAAGTAAAAAAAAAAAAAAAAAAAACTCCCACTTGATAGATCGGTGCAGGACCATGTAGTATGTTAGCTGCTTGTCAGCTCTATCTACTCCCACCCATGTGCTGAGGGTAGGCCTGCACAGCACAAGGCTTGTACACAATCCTGGTATAATTTTCATGTTGTTTTGACTTTACATCTTTTCTGAGAGTCTCAGCAGTGTGGGCAGTTGTCATCAGATTTACTGGCCTTCTGTCATGTCAGGAAATATATAAAATGTGTCTGTCTCTGTGAGGTTGAGGTTTTGCTACTTTTATTTCATTTGGCACACCTTTTGGTTCACATGTAGTGTGACACATGCTTCTGTTCCATTTTGGGCTTGGTGGTGAAACAAATCGGGATGAAAAAAAATTGTCCATGTAAATTACATGTCCCGTGTTTTGTATATTCTCTGACAGGGAGGACACAACTTTGTGAGCAACACCAATAGTGCTTTGTACTCAAGATGTTTTGCTGCCAATTATAAATGTACCTGGTTTTCGAGTCTGCTAGTCCCCAGGTTTTGGTTGGTTTTGCTGGTATATACATTAGCAATCTCGTCCTGCCTTTGAAAGGTATCATACTTTCATCCACTGAAAGTTCCTTTCCAGGATAAAAGTATTTCTGCCAAAGTGACATGAGTTTGTCAGAAAATGGCCAAAATCTTGTATGCTCTGTCATATTCAGGGTGGTTTCTTGGTTTTGCACATGTATTGTCAGAAAGATGAAAAAAAGGACAAAATTCTCAAAAACCGGTCTCGTGGCATAATATTTCTAAAACCTGACATTTGGATAAAAACATCTGTTGACCAGTATAAGTGAAATGACAGCCGCTTTGTGAGTCCCACAAGAAGTAAAATGTCTAAGAAAGCCTTCATTTTGGCGAAAGTGACTTCGTCCCACGTGTTTACATATGCATAGACCCCCTCATTCGTCCCCTTCCTTTTTTTCATTTGACAAGCATATTTATCTTCTTGACAAATAAAGTAATTATTTCATTGTTTATAAAGAAACAAAATAATTCACCTTCATAAAGGCTTTTGGTAAATTCATGGGTCCAGTAGCTTCCAGGAAATTACTCAGCCAGGGATGATAGCAGCCACTTGGCGCTTCGGGGTCGTCATAGTTTTCTTTCTTGTCACAAGTGTGGCTGTCTTCTCTGTCTCCGACAATTTCACCATCTATATCTGCCTGAGTAAATCCCTCAAAATCATCATCGAAGTCAGAATTAAAAAGAAACTCCTGAATAAAGGCTTTGTTCGATGTCTCAGCAGCCATTTTTGTAAATAAAAAAAAATTGCGATGAAATTACTGTGGGTTTATTCAATGTTACACACATGTAAAGTGAAGAAGAATTAAAAATAGCCTTTTTTTTCAAAGGATTACAAGAATATTTCCAGCTTAAAATACCGGAAATAATAATTGACAAGTGTTTATAGTAACCCTGTCATGGCGACAGAATGCACCCAGAGTACCAGAGTGAGAGAATTCTCTGGTGACTAGTGTCGCCTGTGGTGTGTTAAAGATTAATATTTACCATGCTGTTCAAAATTCCATATAATCTGATGTGTGTGACTAGCAAAAATAATTTTAAGTTATGCTATATATATGGATAAAAGGGTACAATATCAGGGATAAAGCATGCACACACACACACACACACACACACACATACATATATATATATATATATATATATATGAGAGAGAGACTAGACAATCTTTGGTTTCATCTTCACATCGTGAAACCACATCGAAATTTTTTACAAAACTGAAATCATTTTTTTTAAGTGCTATCACTACTGAGTGGCCATATCCAAAGAAAAAAGATTGAACAAAAATGTTAAAAACATTTAATTGACTAGTTTTAGGAAATAAATATTTGCTTACAAAAGAAATGAAGAAAAAAAGGAAATATGACATGACATCTGAAATCTATTTGTTCCTGTTATGAAAAAAAAAAAAAACGTTTTGCAGTAAAATTAAGTTAACAACAAAATAGTGAGTAAAAATAAAAAAAAATAGTTCCCAGTTTCGTCTTGACGTTAAATTTTCTGAAATTTTTTTTTTGTAGTAAGGGTAATTGTTTTTTCTAGTAAAGCCAGTGTTCACAATATAAAGTTGTTGTAAACAAGAAAAATGAATGAAGATATTTTATTTTATAAATAAATTTGCTTTTTATCTAGGGAATGCACCTAAATTAGACATTAAGAATAATTAAAATAGTTCTTAATTTCACTTTTAAAATAATGTGTATGTTTTTAGTCACTAGTGTAAAATTGTCTGTTTTCTACAAATAAAATTGCTTCTATTTTCCTTGTTTAGAAGAAATTTATTTGCAAAATGCCAATAACAGTTGACTGGGACTGGCGTACCAGAAAAGAATTGTTGTTTTTTGGGTTTTTTTTTTTTTTTTCTGCTTTATAATTTTTGAAGGAATTTGCTTCCTCAGGTCAGAGAAGAAATTAACATCTTCCTGGCTGTAGTTTAAGGTGTCTTCTATTTCAAGAATATTGATAAAGATTGGTCACATTGATTTTGTGGAACAAAGTAACATGTAGAATTTAATCTCAAAAATCATATTTCACATTTTCATCCGTTCAAAACAAAATACTGTTTTAACTCGCTGTAAAAAAATAACTCGATAAATAAAGGCACATAAAATTACATATTTAGAAATATTTTCTTTCCAGTCATATGAATATTTTTAATTCAAGATTGGGCCAGAAATACATGAGAATTTGCAAGAATGGACTGTTTTAAATTTATCAGTCTCAAATGAAATCAGATATTGACTGGAAATGTTATCATTACTAAATTAAAAACTGAATCGAAAACCATGGTATCAAAGGGGAAAAAATCAGAAACCGATACCGAAACACAAATTGCCAAAATGACCAACTCTAATATAGACACTTAGGTCAACACAAAGCACCGACAGTTTGTTTCATGCTTAAACACAATCTTAGGCATGTATATATGTACAAGTATACAAAAAAATTAATCTATTTTCAGTGGCTGATTTTAAAATACAAACAAATGGCTCATATATGATAAAATAAAAGAAAAAATAGGAAATGTATATTAATCTAACGTTTCACTTTTTATTAAAGCTTCGTCAGAGATTGATAGAAAACAGGCAAAAAGACAGAAACACTGGTATTTTCAATTACGTGTTGTGTATTAAAACTGTAGGTAATTCTATGTGTATGTAGGTTTGTGAAGATTCTTGTATGTCTAATTTGAGGTGGACAGACACTCTCTGGAGTCTGGATATTGGATGTGATAGGTAATCTATCTTGATTTAAGGTCCCCACTTATCCTTAGAGATCCCATTTTTCATCACATACATTTTTTTTTTTTTTTTTTTTTTTAACCTGAGAAAGCCAGAGAGAGCAGGTGCTCTTGGCGAAATGTATTGCCTTGTCATCACTTTTGTTTCAGATATTATTATACATCATATACACACACACACACACACATTTCTATTTTTAAAGCAACAGATTTTATCACTTTAAATGTTATTTTTAGTGGATACCCATATTTTGAGTAGATACTCCATTGTTGATAATATGATCTCCCCCACCCCTCCCTCTCTTTTTGTCTTTAATTTTTGTTCAAAATTTCTTGTAATATGCACAAGAAAATATGGTAGTAGCAAAACTATTCATTTTCCTCTTGAAAACAATTAGGTTCTTAAATTACCACCCTACTTATAGAAGTACTATGATCATTTGCAAATACCCAAACTGAGTAGTAGGCCAAGAATATTTGTATAAATGTTACATGATTGTAAATGTTTAGATATTTTTTTTTTTGTTTTTTATTATAGAGAAGAAGAACCTGAGGATGTTTACCATATTTCTCATGAGGAAGATGTGGTCAAAAAAGTTACATACAGAGTGAAACTTCTTCAGTTCCACACTAATTATCGTCCACCTTATTATGGCACCTGGAGGAAAAAAAGTTCAGTGCTCACCCCTAAATTCCCTTGGAAACAGGATACTGTGAGTTTGCTTAGTTTCTTTACTGTTTTATTACTTCTTACTGACTTTATTATTTTCTCTGATGCTTATATGGAAAGGATTATTATTTTCAACTATACCAGTAATTTTTGCTTTAAATCCTGATCCCAGACAACCCATTTTCACTGTACAATATTATAGATTGAATGCTCAAAAACTTGTTCAAATAAATTTTAGGTAATAATTTCAAAACATTCTTCATTTTTATTTTTCCTCTCACCTTAGATTAGTTGGACCACAAAAGTTAGTTTATCTGTTAAAAATAAGGCAGATTTTTTTTGTTTTAGACATTAACTTTAAGTAGGATATTTATCATTTTATTCCCTCTTCTGCCATTATTCATAATTTCAGAAGTTTTTTTTTTTATCTTTCTGGCCAACTATCTGTTACTGGCATCTTTCTGGCCAACTATCTGTTACTGGCATCTTTCTGGCCAACTATCTGTTACTGGCATCTTTCTGGCCTTCCAGAACTACATATTTTTCATTATAAAATAAATGAAAGATTCAATATCTGTTGAATATGGCAGATAAATGAAATCTTTCCAACCAACAATTTTTTCCTGGTCTCTGAAGAAACCTGTAATCTAGTCTTATCATGATGGAATATTAAATTTTATTTTCTTAATTCTGGATGGTTTTTGATAATTGCTACATTCAGTTGGTCTGTGAGCAATATTTGATCAAATCTTTCATTAGCTTCTCCAGATGGGTCTCATAGTAGAACACCCTCTCTTAATTCCACTATATATACATAGCATCACATTGTTTGGAATTAGCCTTTGGTATAGTTAGTTGGAGGTTCAATGTGCTTGCCCTGCAATCTATTCCATTCCCTGTTGTAAAGTATGCAATTCTCATTACCAATCACAATTTAAGGAAAAAAAAAATATTTTTGTGACGTTTCAGTAATGAATATCACTTCAAAACCCACTTCTGACATTCACTGTATCTTCTCCATAAACTACACAGCTCTCTTTTACATTTTTAGATTCTTTTAAATTTAAAAACATGGGCCTTTGAAAATGTTGCTTATTTTCTTTAGTCTTTAATGTTGGTCTGTAAACAAAAATACATTAATTTGACAAAATTCTTATTTATATGAATACTTAACAACAGTTGTCACAACATACAAAGATTTAGTTAAAGTGAAATGCTCCTAGTGCTCACTAATGACAAAGGGAATGGACTTTTTAGGTACTCTGCCATATCACATGTAGAATATATTAAATACAATGTAGAATAAGAAAGAAACATGTCAGATTTTGTTTCTGATACAGCAACTGACATCCTGAGAAACAAATCTCATTGCATTCAAGATCATAATAAATGAAGCTTTGTTTCAAACTTTCATTTTGAAAGGTTAGAAAGAATCTTGTCTTTGATATCCTACACATCAGTTTGTATAATCCATATAGTATATTAAAACTTGACTAATACAAACTGTTATGAAAGACATTCTCAAAAATCAAAGGAAATATTTTTAATTTATTTTCTTAATAATGCACCCAGATATAATGATAATAAATCCTAGTTGAAGGAAATCAGTTTGATGGGTAGTTGTTTAATTCAGGCCAATATTAGTATGGTTTAGTTTTCTTGTTTAATAGGGAAAGATTGGAAGAACAAGCTATGTATGAATTAAAATTCCCTACAATATATGAGTGATAGCAAATTGTATTGTCTATGAATCTAGTATAAGTGGAAGGAACTGATTCAGATAGTTTGTTGGAATGATCATCGTGTATCACTTTAAAAAAAAATAATAATAATAAATCCCTGTCTAAATATACACCAAAAGAAGACTATGAAACCAAGTGACCAAAACCATTTGGTAATTAATAGAAAACAATTCTATTATCCAAAACTGAATATTAATGACTTTATTCAGTTAGACATGGAGAGCAGTTTGGAATGAGAAATTGGACAGTTGAGCTTGAATTCCAGTCAGCTTTATTAACATCTACTTACGTGCAAATATCCTTGAGAAAGGTAGGACTCCATTTCCTCCTCCCAGTTATGGGTTAAATAGCACTTGTATCACAAAAAAATCATTATTTAAACAACAAATTGTTAATGCAATATTCACTTATAAACAAAAAAAATTACAGTACAAAATATTTCAGCTTAAATAACCCATAAATGGCATGTATTTAAATGTTGGCAAGAAGCCTATTCCCATTGGAATGGGTTTTCATAGGGTATTGAGCAATATGTGAGATCATGTGAGTGATGTCAAGTAAATAGCAACAATCCAGCTAAAGAGTCTCTTAATTCATGGGAGAGTAAATACAAAATCTTGGTAATGGTTGCAACTAAACCATGCTTCTCCAGCTAAAACATCAGATTATATACAGAATGTTTTGGGTAAATTGCTATTTTATATTTTTTAATTTTACGCATGTGCATTGGTTTTGATTTTGTTGACTGCACAATATGGTTGAGCACTGTGAGATAAAGAGCACCATGACACAACTCACTCTGCCAGAAATTTGTAAACGGCATACTGTATTGCTTGGCATTCTTGCTGGAAGCTCCAATATGAACATTTCAGAATATTTCGGTGTCAATCTGAGGACAGTGCCACGGATTCAGAAAGAGTTTGATGCGTCTAATGCTGATTACGAAGGTACAGCAGCTCTGATTGTTCTGATAAAAGAATTTCCTAATTTGTTGGTGAGACTTAATATGGAGGCCTACATCAAGTGTCTTTAGGAGGTAATGCTGCCCTTGGACAAGAGGGTGACTGTTGGAAGACCCTATATCTGGCAACAGGACTCTGCACGATGCCACACATGTAGGAGTATTCACCAACTTAAACAAGGAGGCCATCCAGAAATGGTTGAAGCCAATGGCGATTTTATTGAATAAATTTACTCTTTAATATTTTAAAATGTTTTTGTGTAATATCTGTTAAAATGAGATGTCAGTATTTTTTTATTTTTGCGATGACAATTTATCTATTGCACTCTGTTTAAGCAACTGAATGGACACTCAACTTAGTAAATTCAAATGGTAGTTAACTTTCTATAGAAGAGCTTTGCAAGACATCTGCAATATGATGGTTACCTGAGGTTCTTGTAACAGACATGACAACAAGGGTGGTGAATTTGAGACATTTTTGATTTCAAACAGAGTAATGTATATGATATCATGTATCTGTCATCGAACAGTTTAGCAGAAAGATCAGTCCAGACAAAAAAAGAGAAATTAGATGAAAAGAGTGTACTTGAGACAAAAGTGTGCTGCTTATTATTTTCTTACAGTTGCACTCTTCATAGTGTGACAGAAATTTCACAGGTGGAATTACTTATGTCATCTATGCAGTTCTCCAAGAGGGGAGGAGGAAATTCAAAGAAAAAACAGGTTTCAAAGTTTGGATGCTTAAGGTGGATGACCTGGTAATTGCAGTTGGATAAATAATTAACAGTAGAGATAGGGAAGTGACATCTATGATGGAAACGGTGAAAATATGGACTAGATACAGGCAGTGATGAAAGGCCTAAAACACCAGTTTATTAAAGAGAACCTTGAAGTGAAAAGCCTCTGTCATAATGACCTGAGCTAATGGATAAAGAGTCCACTCTGTAGAGCCTGACATGAAGGCAATCTCATTAACTGTAGTTGTCCCTGACCCAGTAGTAACTGTATGCCAAGAGATGTATTCAAGACTGCCATTAGATGATCACTTGGGTACATGTCCCTCACACAGACGCTCAAAAATAATTTACATTAATGACTATCTTCTGTTGGGCACACAGTTATGAAGAATCTATATTGAATTAACTATTTTTAATCACAAACCAAAAATGGCAAAATAACTTTCCATTGCTTTGCATTTGAGTTCCTTTGAAGTTCTGATTCTTAAATATTACAGGTTGATTATCCTTTTATCCAAAATTCCCAAATCCAAAAGTTTTTCATGTGCTGACATTACTTGCCTCAAATGGAAAATTTCAGAAAGCCCATCTATGTAGCTTATGTTGGTGGCAGTTTTTTGTTAGTGATTGTCACAGCAAAAGGTTTGTTCATGTATTACCTCCAAAGTCTTTTGTGCTAAGGAAAGGTATTAAAAATGACAAGAAACCCTGCATTTTTATATATATTTAAGTAGTGATCATGTATTTTTGTACACATACAGAAAGTGCAAAACATTATTTTAAATGAAATCTTAATCTGTGTGAGCATTATGACAAGTGTCATTACCTGTATCTGTATGAACACAAAATTTATTAAATTTTATATAAAACTACATTCAGGGTTTATGTATAAGCTTTATGAAATATAAAGGGATTTTGTCCTTATGCTTGGGTTCCATTTCCAAGCTGCCCACGTGATGTGTGAATTAAATTGCCTGTATTCCAAAACCCCAAAACATCTGAAACCCGAAGCACTTCCAGTTCCAAAAATTTCAGATAAATGATTCTCAACCTGCATTGTAATATTTATCTTGTGTTTGATTTTTTTATAACACTGATTTAATTTTATTGTTGGTTTCTAAATCTTTATTTTCTTTTGAATTGTTTCTTTTATTATTTTTTTTTTTTTTAATTTTTTTTTTTTTTTTTTTTTTTTGCTGTTGAGAATTGAACAGCTACAGTTCCATCATGTTTCTGTCACAGATTAAAAGTGTAAGACTTTCATTAAATACTATTCAGTTACTTTTAGACATTTTTGGTAGTTCTCTGATCTAATAATTGTTATGATTAGATTTTCCATTGATGTTTATATTCATGTATTTATGCATTGTGTATTGTTTATGGTAATATATACATTGTGTATAACTTTCAACATTTGTTTTTTGCTTTGACAGAAATTATTTGATTATGAAATTGACAGTGATGATGAATGGGAAGAGGAAGAACCTGGAGAAAGCCTATCTTCTTCAGAGGTAAAATTTAATCTTTTCATATCTATATATCTACATCTTTCATGTCACCCCCAAAATGCTTGATATTTGGTGTGTGTGGTAATTTAAGAATATGTTCAATAATTGTGATGGTTTATATGCTGTTAAATTTGATTATGCAAGTCAATAAAATTAGTAATAAACATGTGAATTTCAGTTATATTTATACTTATTCAAAAAATAACTTGTTGGCAAACTTGGACATTTGTGTCCATAAAAAAAAGTGCCAAAAGGACAGTTTTTCCATTGACCTTGCCATTATTTTAACTACCTTCACTCCTTGTTTGTTTTTATAGTGATGATTACAATTATAATAAAACCTAAACATATGAAAGTGAATTTACAACAAAAATAATAAACACTATTAGATTGTTTATTTACACTAATAATATTGTTTATTGGAATGGTTGGCAAAACATTGGCTAATTGCCAATTGCTTTTGAACTTTATAAAATGTTAAATAAGAATTTCCTTATTTAATAATTTAGTAAATGTTTATAAATTTATGAATAAAAAATTGTTTTCATATTTATTTCTTTATAAATTGGTAAATGATAAATATTGCATTTCATTAGTTTATAACACACTAGCCCCAGCCAATCATGGATCGAACCTGGTCAGCAATGATCAGATAATATGGTCCTTGCCACATGCCGCCTACACCGGATGACTTAGTTCTCAAGGTTGTATGACAAGTTGATTGCAGGGTCGATCCTACACTGGTCAATGGGCCGTTGGTCACCCTGGTCCACACTTTGCTCGTCCCATGTTGTGTTTCTTGATTTCAGAGTATTGGAGAAGTATCATCAGTAATCGTAGCATTGTCTTGAACCATGGCAAAGCTGTCTTATGAAGGGGGAAAAAAAAGGAAATGTTTTCACAGACAAAATAAAAACAAAATTTTTTATTTGGTTTATGTAGTTCTTTTATAACAATATTAACCCTTCCCACTAAAATCTCTATAGTGGCATTTTGCCTATTGGTGCTAATTCTTGGAACAGGGCTCAAAGTTGGGTCTTCTCTTGGCAGCAAGTCACATGGATTTCAGTAGCATCTTCATTTGCTCTTCACCCCTTGTCTCTCCCTGGGTCACCTAAATGCTCTGCTTATATTGATTTCTATTCAAGATTGAAGTGGGGTATTTAGGGATCTGGTGATTGCCCAGGTTTCTGTATTGATTTGAACAAGAGTTCTTTGTTGACTGATTTGCAATATTAATTATCTTTCCAAATTTGGAAGAACCCTTCGCCTTATTGGTGGTGGTGGCAGGTATTGCCCTGCTGTTATAACTCATTCCTTCTCTTATTTATGCCTTGTACTATTACTTCTAAATAGCCAGAGCTAATTTCTCCTTCTTCCTCCTCCTCTCTTAGTATTTCATTATGCCACTTCAGCTGTCGCTTTGACAAATCTGGTTTTTGAACTGAGTGGGCAAAAAGGAGGTTCTTACTTTCAGTCATTAATTGTGATTATCTTAATTTTCAACGACAAATTTTATGAGTCCCTGATCCTATTCATTTAAACAGACATTTACCAGCTGTTCCATCAACCTGCTATTAGCAAAACTTGTCTTCATATCTTTTTACTTAATTGTACTCACGAATCCTAGAGGTCCTTTTCATATTTCAGTTTCTTCGAGTGAAGGATAAAATCCTATTTCTCTATTTGTTTACATTTCCAAAATTGGAGAAGCTATTTCTCCTCTTTGACAGGCAGGCATAAATCAGTTTCTCGATTCTGCCTTTGCCTTCAAAATTACCAAATACTGTAATTTAATTGATCCCTTCTTCTGTCTGGTAATCATGAGACATGTTTTTGTAACTGCCACTTTAATTAAGTGGACATGAATCAATTTCTGCTTTTGTTTCCAAAATTCTCAGTTAACCTTGACTGTATTTTCACTATTCCTTCTCGGACTTTGTGGGTTGAAGCATTCCACATGACCTCTGATAATATCTTTCCAAAAACAAATAACGTTGTTCTGTTCAGGTTTGTCTTTTCTTCAAGCTAGATTTTCAATAGGAATCCATTTTGTTTCTTTTCTATTTCGGAATAGATTATTTTATTTCACATGTTAAAATGTGGGTACCTTTGTATTCTATAATCTTCATTACTTTCAATTCATTAATTTTAATTTTTATAATGCTTCAATTTTAATATTACTTGTAGCATTTTTATTGAGAAATCTTTGTTGTTTGAATAGTTTTCCATTCTCTTTTAGAAATGGCCAATTTTGTTTAATACTTTAGCTTATGTTTTTAATATTCTGCATCTATTCTTTCTGTTTACATTTACAATATAAGCTTCTTCAAATATTTTGTTGCTTCTAACCAATTTCAATTTTTCCCAAATGTCTTGTAACATTTTTTAAGTTATTTCTCCACCTGCAATGTTTTCAATTTATTTTTGACTGTTCAGATTTCCAATGTTGTGCTTTCATCACTATAATCTTGCAATACTTTTTGAGGTTGACTTTTTTATGATCCATGATAATCTTTATATATTTGAAATAAAAATATCAATAACTAAATTTCCTATATTGATTTTTAAATTATGAGCAACAACCCTTGAGTTGTTGAATAAAATCTCCCACCATCATACAAGTTATAAGAGTTTGTAATAAAAATAGATATCGGTCAAAATTCACATGATATATTTATCATAAGTATCTCTTGAAAATTTCCCATCATCGGTTGGTTAATTCCAGTTTTATTGTGGAAACATTGATTTGCATAATAGTGTACTTTCAACAGTTTTGTATTTCTTAATGAAAATCTTGGCTGAATGTTACTCTCATGACAAATAATTATAGATCACAGGCAATATTTACATTTCTCCTGCCCTCAAAGAATTTCTAGTTTATTGAATCTAGACTCACCATAAATGATTGAAGATTTTTTTTTTGTTAGAATTCAGCAAATTTTTTTTAAAAATTCTATTTTTGTATTAATGCTGTTTTTTTTTTTTTCTCTACACACCTAAGTTTTAAAATAAGTATTTAATTTTTTAAGTTCCTCTTGCATCAATTATCTATTTTATACTTGTACCATTGCCTATGTCCAGGTGAATATTTATCCTACAAAATATGAAGTTAGAATCATTTCAGCTGTAATAATAGTTTTTTCTGTTTTCAGGAATTTTCCCATTTTAATGTATTTAGAGAAGCATGTTAAAAATGTGTATGAAATCTGAGGATCAGCTCTTCTGTAATTATGTTTACAATACATTGGTTTGTTTATATTCTAGTATACTTGAAATTACCTAGCAAGGTGATAATGCCACTTAGGCGCAAGAAGTTACTGAAGATGAAAGACAATAAGGAGACTTTAGTGGGTAGAAAGGAAACTAAAACAATAGGATTCAGAAAGATAGAAGATGGCAATTGACATTGCATTTAAATTTTTGAAGATTGTAAATGGCAGGGAAGCAAGAAACTGGAAGAGTTCTACAGGCAAGAAAAGAAATTATTAGAATAGAACTGGGTTACATCTAAGCTATTTCAGCAGTAAAATGATGAGACCTAATTGCACATCAAGTAGTATTCTTAAATTCATGTGGTTGACATACGAAGAAGGAGAGCTCATTAGAATAACTGCCATGAAAATATATATAGAAAAGCCATGTCACAGCAGTGGGAAAGTGACTGAAGTCAAAATGCCAGGTTGGGGCTGCTAACATTACAGACTCTTCAATGGATTTTGCCAAGAATCTCGAGATAAATGTGGGGCCAAGAAGACACATGTTTCCCCCAAAGAAATCATAATTTCTTGTACTCACTTTTGCGCTAAACATTTATAGAAAAGACAGTTGGAAACCATGTCACAGCAATGGAGAAATTGACTGAAGTCAAAATGCCAGGTTGAGGCTGCTAACATTACAGAGTCTTCAGTGGATTTTGCCAAGAATCTCGGGATACATAACAGGAGCATCAGACCAGGTATGGCATCAATAGTCTATGCATGGACAAATGGTAGATTTATAAGAGATAAATTCGTACAAGAAAGATTGTTTGGCACAACACAGTGAATCAGCTTTCCTAACAGTTGATTCAACATAATCACTCTACTTTATATCAGTAGAAAATGTTGGACCAAGAAGGTACAATGAGTTGCTATCCTGGAGGTTAGCATCAGCCATGCTGATGGAGGATAAAAATGATTCTCTATGATGATTAGTAGATAGCAATTTTGTTTTGGAGACATTAAAATTTAGAAGCCATTTCTTTTTCAGTTAACTGATTGGAATTCATTTTTGAGAGCAGCTACCAGTTTTACTTTGTTGGACCTATTGAACTTAAGGCAGGAGTAAATGGTTGTCCTCAGCTTAAATACCTAGATTGAAAATTGTGTTTTTGTCATAATTAATTTTTCATGCATGTAAATCAATATGTAATTATCTTCTACATAGATTTCACCTCATCCATTTTGTGAAAAAAAAAAGCTCTAGATTTTAGTCAAATAAACACACGAAAAAGATGTTCTTGTGTTAGCTGCTTCCATAAAGGAGAAATTACTATATTATGATTATTTAGTATAGGGTAAAAAATTAAAAAAAAAAAAGTGTAGTCTGTTTCTTCTGGTGTGTAAGCAATTTCTATAATTGATTTCCTTCTGCAACACTTGACTCTTGTTCGCTACAGCATTCACATCTTGTTTCCTCTCTTGCCTCTTTATAGCTTGATTGATAGTTAAAATTTAAATATGTTGAGATTCTCTCGAAAGACTATCAAACTCTGAGATCTATCTGTGTTAAATGTATAACTTGTGAAGCTGTCATTTTTGTCCTGGAGGTAAGCCATTTTCTCTTGTGTTACAAAAAGAAATCTCTTAAAAATGATCAATATTATAAAGAAACTTTCAACTACTGAATTTGTTCATTTTTGTGAATTTCAAGGGTGAAGAAGACAAAGAAGAGAAGGAAGAGAAAGAAGAAGAGGAAGATGATGAAGATGGCTGGATGGTGCCTCATGGTTATCTGTCAGAAGGAGAAGGTTGTGAAGATGATGAAGAGGTAAGTTAATTACTTTTTGTTATTCTAATATGTCTACATATCGTGTTAGTCAGGTCTTATAATACATCATCCACTTGAATGATTTTAATTCTATTCTGTCACTGGTGTTGAGGGTTTAAAGATTCTAGCTCCTTCATTAATACTTATGCGATTCAGCCCAGATGATGCCAGAATAGACTTTGCACTCAATATCACACCAGAGCATTGACCTGAGATATGACTCTTAGCTGAGGGTAGAAATGTGTTTTGCTCCATGTAAGTGGCTGTTTTTGACGCATAAACACATGATCATGCCAGCTGCATCTTGGATGTGCATGTATTGATAAAGAAAAAAAAACAAAAACAAAGGTATAGTGTGGGTGTGTATACGCATACACACACACACACACACACACACACACACACACACACACACACTACCCCAGAGGAGAGATAGTATCATTGTTAGAAGGTATGGCTTGCATTCAGAGAAGGACTCAAAGCTGCACACCCACTGGTTGATGGTGAGGATTTAAAAATAAAGAAAAAAAGACAGTAAAAACTAGTATGTTCTAAAGGACTGATTATAGAATAAACAAAAAGTGGCTATTTCCAAAGCATTCCCTATATTGTGTGCTGATGTGCCATAAGCAATGGGTTAGCAGTATGTAAAAGTAATGCTTGGTGGTGCTACCAAATCTAAACAATATGGGAATACCCAGACCTATATCAGATGTGAGTCAGAAAGAGCACAGGCTAGGTTGCTTATGTGAAGGTGATATGAATTATTAAACTTTGATTGGGACATGACAGTGGGTACCAATGGAGACATTATTTGTGGTGTCACATATGTATACCAGGAATATCTATCAGAGTGTATTACCACCATGGGCAGTGCAATGACCAACCATGAATTCTTAATGAGCACAACCAGTGCCATTTCACTGGAATAGCTGGCAGTGACCCTGGCAGGAGGTACCAGACACAAATCTGGTGGGTCAGTGTTCTTTAGCTTCTATGAAAGATTGGAGAAGACGACCCACCAAGGTGTCATTTTTAATGGTACAACACTGGACACAACACCTCAACCAGGCTTGTAACATCACTAATTGAACTGTTGAGGACTGGCTGTGTGTTATAGTCCAATAAGTCATGGTTCCAGTTGTTTCAGGCAGATGGTAAGGTTCAAATGTGGCACAGTCCATATGGCCAGGGGCACCAGTTGTCAGCAAGGTATTTCAACCAGGATAATCTGCCTAAACAGTGACTGTTGCATTACACTGCTACATTTGTACCCATTCGTGGGATTCTATGTACCCCATCAACAATGTCATTCTAGCAAGAATATTCATGGATAGCCAATGTGATCAAAATTGGTTTGAGTAGCATTCTGGAGACTTTCAACAGACAGTGTGGCAATCACATTTGCCAGACATGAACCTAATTGAGCATTTATAAAACCTGATAGTGCAGAGGTCTATTTGCATGCAAAATCTTGCACCTGCAAATATCAAAGAACTGCCGACAGCTATTTAGATGGCATGCCTCAACATCTTTCCAAAGGTCTTCCAACACCACCAGTTTGTGATTACTTGCCCTAACCATTATTTAGCCACAAATAAATTTGTTCTACTTTCAACAAGTAGAACATTTAGTGTCAAGACAAAATAATTTTCATGTGAAAAATATCATTTTTGCAAAGATTTTAGTAACTTTGCATTAAGCTTCATAGGATAAAAAAAAAACAAAAAACTATTCAAATGTTTGAATGTTATTTGACATTTACATGAATTAAAAATGTTACCAATTTTGCTGGATAGGTGGTAGTTTAAAATTATCTTTTATAAGAGTAATGTTGTTTTTATGATTCCTTGCAAATCCTTGTCACCACTTTTGTGATGTTGGACAGCTTCACTTGTCACTTTTGTTAGCTCGTTATCACTTCAAAAAATGTGTTATATTCAAGACTTTGTAGATGCCGGTAATGGTAGTAATGCCTTCTAATAATATTTGCATTAGTAATACTGGTTCAAGTAGTAATTGCTGAATAGTATAATGATCAGTAGAGAATTGTAATTAGTGCAGCAGTAGAGAGAATGAATGTATAGTAATAGAGGATAGACAAGAAGAGTCTGTATAGTTGATAGAGGAGAAATGGTGGTCAGATAGTCAACATGCTACTTCCTATCTGATCACATGATCTACTTAATGGAATTGCCCATGTTGCTCACTGGCAATCTAGTTTCAAACCACAGTGTCAGCAATGACACTTACTCTTATACAACAGGTGTACGTTTTTTTTTTGTTTTTTTTTTTTAATACAAAACTGATTCTTTCATAAATATTTGTTTTCTTCCTCAAGTTTCTTTTTGCATAAGTTTTACAATTTCATTGCCTCTAATTTCAGGTCACTCCAGAAATGTTGAAAGCACGCCAAGCTGCTAAAGCAGAAAGCTGGGAACGTCAAAGGAAGCAACAATGCTTACCTCATAAACCTGAACATATTGGATGTGTTTGGGAAGGTGATCAAATAGAAGCTCTTATTCTCAATAAACTCTTAGAATTCAAGGTAAGTATCTTAGATTTAATATCTGAACAGTGTATGTTTTTTTATTTTTCTATGAGTAATTATAGATTACAATTACTTGGGAAATGTGATATATAACAAGGGATGGTTATTGCATTATTTCAGGTGTGCAATATAGATGGAGAGTTCCCAATTGGCACATCCTATAATGGGATCACCAAAGACCTGGAACCTACAGAAACCCGCTCTACCAGCTATCTCAAGAAACGAGCAGTCCCTGAAGAAGGTATGAAAAATTTTGCTTCTGTAGAACTTTTAGAAAATTTGTACCTGGAACATGAAAAAATTGAATACTTTTCAAAGTAAAAAATGTAAACTGATGAATTTATTTTTGTTTGGGATAAGAAAATAAGGTTTTAATCATATAAAAGTTAAATTCTTGCTCTACCAAAAATGGATTTTGAATTAAATCTTGATTCAATTGAATTCTAAAACAAAATAATTTTCTATGAGATCTGAATTTTCCTCTGCACAGGGCTTGTGAAATACAGCAAAAAAAGTTTTTATTTATTTTTATTTATATTTCTTAGTAGTATAATAAAAACATTAAATTGTTTATGAAGTGAATTTAACAAAAAAGAAAAAAAATTTAAAGTTAAAAAAAAAAAAAACCCAAAAAAAACATTTTATTGTAATTTTTACTATTTTTCTTAAAACATTTTGGGTAAATTAACTAGAATAATCTTATAATTAAAGCAAAATGAATTCTTTCATTTAGCTCCCAATTCTCTTCACATTTAGAGATAAACATAAAAAAAACAACAATCATAATCCTGCCTGCATAGGAGCTTCCTATTTCATGTATTTTGTTTACTACTTCTAGTATAAACACTCTTGTTTAAAAAAGGGAAGTCTCTCTACATCTATTAATAGATTGTGTATTGATTAGACTGAAAATACTCATTTCTGATACCAGTTTTTTTAAAAGATAATGATATCACTTTTATTAATGAAACTTAGATATTATAGCAGAAGTTAGTAACTGTGCCTTATTTATGTTATCAGCTTATTTCTGTAAAAATACCAAAGTAACTTTTCTATTGAAATGCACATTTTATCAAAGGAGATTTTGATAAATCATTAAATTTAACTTTTATTTATTTTTAATCATCTTTTTATTTATGCTGGGCAAATAAATTTTATATTTATAAAAATAATTTAATTGTTTTATTTTCAGCAATGCCTGACTTAATTAAATTTATCCATGGGAATCGTGCAGGCATTAAAAAGCTTGTGATAGAATTCCAGTTGTTTTGGAATTCAAAGAATTCAGATGTGGTAGGCAAGGCATCTCAAGGGGAAAATGCAAAACCAGAGTCAAATGTTGAATCTACTCCTGGCACTCCAGCAGAAAAAATGGATTCTTCCAAACAAACATCAACTCCGAACACTTCAATCAATGAATCGGATGCTCCAGAAGAGAATTTTATTATATCCAAACGTCAGTTAGACAAAAAGATTACAACCATTGCTGTCCGTGAAAAGCGTTCAGATTTTCCCAAGATCTGTTGGTATGTCCATCCGGAAGTATTGAAGCAATATGGGTTGGAGAACCTTACTTTGAGAGACAAAGTCCTCGAAAAGAAGGCGGCAGAAGAAAACCCAGCATGTGCATCGATACCATCAAAGAATACCACCCCAAACCAAGCTAATGTGTCAGAGTCAAAAACACCAACAAGTAAAACTCCCTCAAGGGACCAAATGTCAATTCTGAGTTTTGCCCAAACAGCAGATAAATTAAATACCAGCAGATCAGATGGAGAGTGTGAAATGATCGAGACTAAATCTTTAGATTTAAAATCACATGGCAACAAGCAATTTCGTCGAGATCAAATGTCTATTTTAAGCTTCACACGTGCTGCTAATGAGAAAATGGTGATTGATCTAACTGGGCTTGATGGACAGCCATCAGATAATGGCAAAGTCATGAAGGATGAAAGGAAAATTAATACAGCAGCCAAATCCCTTGTAAATATTACAGAGTGTAGTCCCTCAGTGGGTTCAACTCCAGATGCAGTTGTAAATAAAATACATGATGACTGCATGGAAGATGGCACAAACAACGGATCTGGCAAAGATCATTTATCAGTTGTAAATGTTAATAAAACAGATATTGAGAAGGCTACCAATCTTCCACATTCTCCAGATGAAATGAATGTAGCTTCATTGGAAATGACCACTCAAGAAAAGCTTCCTGAAACCAAATCTACCATTGTAGATGTTACCTCAGCTAATAATACCACAGCAACTCCTGAGCAGAACTTAAATATGGCTGCCTCTCCTGTTCCTCAGACTGTTACTGCCAAAGAAGACAAAACCATCAGTGACAAGGGTAAACCTTGATTCATCATTATTTTTTTCACTTTAAATGATTTGAATTGTACATAAAAACCCTTTTTAACAGGGGGTTGACATCATCTGAATTTACTTTTTCTCATTATCTCTCAAACTTCAACCTTGTATCATTGTACAAAGGATTTGTGAATGTACCTTGGAAGACATATGCAAACACAGACTCTGGGTATATGCATGTCAACTGTCTGAAGTGTGGATACAAGTTAACCCTTAGATACTGTGTGTGTGTATATAACATCTGAGAGAAGATTCTTGTCATATTTTTAATGTCACTTTTAGTTGATAAGTCAGTTTAAAGTGTGTGTTCAAATACAATTCTGACTTAATGGAAAAAAAATGTTGCTGGCAGGGGATTGAGAAGAAGAAAAAAAAAATAAAAGGCTGTTTTTCTACATATATTAATATTTAGTATCAGTGCTGTAATTAGACTTTATATAATATATTATATAAAATCTACTTATATTTTTTTTAAAGAACTGTCTGTGCTCCATTTGTTTGGTCATTTTTTCCCCCAATAAATTATATCTACTCCAGTATAAAGTATGACTTGCTGCTAGAATTTTTTTTTTTTTTTTTTAAATGTTTACCTTTTCTGTACTTCATTTTAAGCACTGTACATCATATTTTTAAGATTGACCTGCTGGCTTGTTTTTAATTTGTCTCATTGAAACAAGAATGTGATCTATCATAAAATACAATGGGTCAGTCTTTTCTCTCTAGAGCAATACATATTTTATTTATTTACATTTTTAGAAGTGGGTTTTGCTTTTTAATATATAAACCAAGATTCCATTAATAAAGAAATTTGTTAAAAAAAATTCAATGTTTTCAGCATATATTGCTACAGCCAGCTGAAGGCATTGAATTTGCCCAGTTGCTCACATTTTTGTTATCATGAGACTGAAGAAATTAAAAGGTAATGCTGAGTAATATAAATTAATATAACTTATCACGTTATTATAAAGACTCTTGTGTTAGGCTTCTTTTTTTATTATCACTAATGCTTGTTAATGCATAGATTTTTTTACCAGATTAAATTATTTTAAAATCTTTTTTCTTCTCGTTTTGTGAAAATTATATTTACTAACTTGCTTCTGGTTGTATGAGAATGACAGCTTTGTAAATTGTTTCTTTGGAATAGCATTAGACATTGTCAATTACCAATCTCTACCATTACACAAATTCAAATCTCAGTAGTATGCTGATGAATTTTAACATCTTAGCTTTTAAACAATCATTGAAGTATTATAAACAATCACTGCTACAATGAAAAAAAGAACACAAAGATTGAATTGGGATATTTATAAAATAGATTTTATTTTTTTCATTGCCCATATTTGAACAGAATCAAAACTTATCCATTCTGGTATAAAAAGGGATTTCTTTCTGCAACTTGACTGAAGAATTGTTCCAAATTTTATTTTAAACTCATAGAAATAAACATTTTCTTTATGCTTCAGTCTAAATAGAGTAATTGAAAATGCTTTATACCTGATATGTTTGGTTAGTACCGATCTCAACCAGCCATAACAAGGATGAACTGTCTCAAAGCCACACTACCCACCTTGGGCAGCTCAAGCAACATTGCATTGTCAATAATGGGATTTCTCATAAGACTGTATGTTCATCAAAATATTTGTAAGCTTTAAAATTGCCTAACTTTTTCCCATCTTTGTCATAGTGTAGGGAACGAAAACATGCATCACAGAAAAAAGAAGTACTATTTAAAGCATGCTCACTCTCAACAGTCCTCCACCTATAACAGAAAAAATAAAAATATATATAAAAAACTGTAGAGGAATAATAAAAAAAAAAAAAAAAAATTAGTTTTGAAAAGTGTGTGTGTGGGGGGGGGATAAAATACTGTGACAGTTAAGATTTTCTGTTTGGATTTTGTTTATGGAGTTTATAAAAAAAATGTTTTGTCTTGGCTTAGTACATGTTAATGCAAAGAAAATATTCCTGTGACTCTAAGGATTGCACCTTGTTGGTAAAAGTGAAGCTTGAATTACAGTGTGGGAAATGTCAAGAAAAATGAGTAATACGAATCAATATAATAGCGAAGTAAATATTCTTTTTACTTAGTTACAATAAAGTTATGTTGATACTACAAAAAATATTAAAAAATACAGGTCTCAAATTGAACATATTTTAAAACAAATATTATTTACTTTAAGTTTAAAAGTATTACAAGAATGATAGCATTTTTTTTTTCGCCTCACAATGTAATTCATTTTTATTTTATTTTTGGAAGATTTATTAATGAAGTGAATCACATTGTGATTTAAAAAAAACCCCCAAAAAACTGTCAAATTTGAAATATTAAATTTAATCTATTAGCTTGAAGTTAAAACTAAAAGCTTCAAGAAAGATTTTTCATTTTAAACCTTATTTTTTGCATTTTCAGTGGTGGTACTTTTATTGGAATCCATCTTATCTAGAAAGTATAGTTAAGTAAACTTAGATTACATACATTCTGTACTAGTATGTCTTTGTATCAGTTTAAGCCATGCTCTACCAGTAGATATATATATATAAGCATCTGATACAGCATCAAATGTTCATTATAGAGACATGAACAGAACAATAACAAGAAAATATTAAATAAAACTGACCTGGCAGAGGCATATGCACAAACTCTACAAATGGTTCTTCTCTTGTTTGAACGTTGAATTACACAAGGGTATTCATTAATGTTCAGATTATCATGTGGATGAACCATTCTGAAATTAAATTAAAATTGTAGACGCTTCAGAAAACATTGAACTAAAATATTTAAATGCTAAACATTTAAGATAGACATTTCATTTAGAAGAAAGTTTCTACTCTTGATATTTAAAAAAAAAAAAAATTCTAGAATCATAAGTGGGGGAGGAGGTGAAAGTCGTTAATATAAACTAGTGTTCTTTGTCTATATATTGTTACATAGTCTTCACCTAAAAGTTGTGAAAATAAGGGTGTATGAACTGGGGGGGAAGGAGGGAAACTTGATCCTTATGTGGACATTAACCAAGTCTACAATTCAGCATGTCAATAAGCACATTTATAATCATCTAAACATCAATGCCAGCTAAAAGACAACCTAAATGGGCCACTATTACATAAGAATACCACCAAAAGAAATTTAGTTTCTGTCAAATGTTTTGGTTCATTTATCTTGACTAGAGGAGGCCAGGTTTGTTAGATAGTTTTTTGACAATACCCATTATATCCCCAAGTATTCAAAAACATCACTTGTCATAGACAATAGTGCTAATTATTATGGCATTTTACATCCTAAAACAAATCTTAGGTGATTTTTTTTTTGTATCTGTCCTACAACTTCCACCCTTACCTTTCTTTCTCCAATATTTGTGGCATTTGTTCTAATTTCTGTAGTGTTGAATCTTTTCCCATGAAACAGTTTCCAGATGTCTTTGCACTTTGTGAAATTAATTTAAATTCTTCTTTGGTACCAATAAATTCTCTGTTCCTCTTTGCTGAAAAGATTCTAGCATACATATGCATGGCCTCTGTGTTTATATTTAGTGGGAAGGATCTAATTGCAAGATATAATTTGTCTCATGAGTCCTCCCAGATGGATTCTTTCTTGTGATTTTAACATTATACTATTAGCTATCTCTTTTTCCTTTATTGTTCTCATTCTTCTCAGGACTAATTTATTAAACAAAAGTTTTGATAATATAGAAATGTCTCTTTCTCTACATTGATCTAAAAGTATTTTTGTGTTTGGTGATTTTAATGCTCATCATGTCAATAGACTTAAGCATTCCCTTACTCATGTTGCCAGTATTCAGACTTTCAATTTTTCTATTGCTCAATCTCTCAGTCAAAGTGGATTTCCCTACTCGTTCCCACCTCCCCCAATAAATCAGTTAAGCATTCTTCTTCACTTGATTTGTTCCTTACCTCCTCTCCTAGCTCTTGTAGAGCACCACAACTTTGTCCTGTAGGCAATTTAGAGCATACTGTAGATATTTATATTTCTTTTGAGTCATCTGTTAGAAAGGAACCACTTCCTATGCATAAGACTTCTGTTACCAGTGTACTGATTGAGATTCATTTCGTAACTGTTTAAGACACCCCTTGGATTGATATTCTCAACCTTCCCTGTTGAGGTTTCTTCTTGGGTTGATGCTTCTGTACCTTCTTGTAAATAACACAATCTTGGTTCACACCAGCCTGTTCAGCTGCTATACCAATGTGATAATTCTGATCACAACAGATGCCGATTTGTTACAGCTTGAAATAATTGTAAACATGTCCTTTGCTGATAGAATGAGGCATTGTATAGCCATGTGACTATTAGTGACTCTAATAGTGTGTTAAATAAGTTTTATATCCCTCTTCTCTTCACTCAGTTTGAGGTGTTAACATCATATAAAGCAGAATATTTTGCTTGTAGATTCTCTTTAAATTCTACTCTTGATTCATGTGGAGTACTTTTTGTCTGACTATCCACTTAGAACCGAGTCTCTATTGACTGAATATGCATTTAACTCTGTCCATGGTTTCTGCTATCATTTCTAAACTGGATCCTCACAAAGCATGTGGTTTTGAAGCTATCCTTGCAATAGTCCTTAAGAAATGTACTCCTGAACTGTCTCCTGTCCTCTCTAAATTAAATACCTTGTTGGAAATCCTTTTCTGTAGTCCCAGTCTTTAAGAACTTGGACAAACCATCTGATCCTCCTACAGGTCTATTATCCTTCTACCTCTTTTTGGCAAGGTATTAGAAACTCTCAGTTGATTAAGCATCTCACATCACAGGTTTTTATTTCAGATAAGCAAATGACTCACTTCTCTAGATCAACTGCTGATGTGTTAATGACTTGCTGAAAGAGTCTCATGCTTTAGATAAGAATGGTGAAGCTCAGGCTGTTGCTTTGAATATCTCTAAGGCATTTGACAGGGTTTGGAATACTGGTCTTCTTCACAAGTTGAAAGGTTATGGTATTTCTGGGGAAAATTTTGAACTGATTCAGTCTATCAAATTACAATGTGAAAGTTGTCTTGAATGGCCATTCTTCTAGATCTTTTTGCATGATTGCAGGCTTTCCCTAGGGGTCTATCACTTGGACCTATGTTGTTTCAGTTCTCAACTCTGTATCAATGCCTATGACAACTATTTACTCTTGTCTTAATTGTAAGTCAAGATCAGCTTGATAAAGTCAAATTGACCTATCCATTAATAAATAAGTCGAATTGTTCTAATGAACTTTCCTCTCTGGTACCTAGATTTATGAATTTAAGTGTAGTACTAGATTGGGGGCAAGGTCTAATCATTTACAGTTGAAATGGCTAGATGTAATCATAAAATCTATACTAATATTTTCTTTTCTCACACTTTTCACTTGTGGAACTCTCTTCTGGCTTCTCGCCTCCCAGTCAACTTTGTATTTAAATTTTTGAAGATCAATGTCAATTGTTATTTTCTGTCTGCTTAATTCTTATCCTTTTATTGTCTGCTCTCTTTAAGAGTTTTTTTTTTTTCATATTCTCTAACACTCAGCCTCTTGTGTCTTAGTAGCTTTATTGCCTTTCTTAGGGTGAAATGTTTTTTAAAATATAAAGGGTCAATATTTTAACTTTTAAAAATATTTCTGAAAAAAATTTCCTATTTACAAAAAATTCCTCATCCCTTAATGTCTTTGTTTACTTGGATGTGTGCATAAGTTCAGAAGGTGGGATCAGCCAGCTGTATTCAAATTCCAGCCTAGTTGCATTCACTTTTACACATGCTCTTAGGAAAGGCATGAATTCATCTCTTCCCACCAGGTAACAGTTAAATAGCAGGGTAGACTGGGATCTCTAGCCTTGAATGGCAGCTAGTCTGAGAGAAGTCAATAGAAAAATACACTATTTCCATGAAAGTCATGCTAATTCATGGATAATATAGGAATCTCTAGAGAGCCATGATTGCCTGTAGTGATAGGGAATAGCATTTAAGAAAATAAAAATTAGTCTAATTCAAATAAGTAAAGAATCTTATAATTTTACCACTGTTTTGAAAGATAATTGAAGACAAGATTTTAATTTGAAGTACTCACCTTATATCACTAAAAACTAAAAGATGTTCACAATTGCCTTGATGAAGGTAAAGATATGGACAACCAATTCGTACTGTCAGTTCATTAAACTTGGTAGTTTCCATTGTTTTACACTGATACTCAATTCCTGATTTAGCTGCCCATTCAACAATTTCTCTAAAGGATAGGAAGAAAACAATAATCATGTCAACAGAGAATGTCTTTAAATGCACAAAACTTTTGAGATGTAAGAATGTGTCACTGACCAAAAATATAGTGGCAAGTTAAAAAAAGAAAAAAATGAATTTGCCCTTTAATATTGAAGTAGAGGATCTTTAAAACTGATTTTTTCTTTAAAATCTTTAGCAAATAATTGAGAAATCTTATGTAGGATTTTATAAATTATATGAAATACACTTACATCTGTTATAAAGTCAAGAGTACTTATTAACTAAAAAGATCAACTAATGATGTTATGCCTAGAAGGAAATTTAGGCTGTTAAGAGAAGCACAGGTTGACGGCCAAAACACTGGCTTGATAATGTCCACTGGATTTGACCTTTACTCATTGAACTCTGGTGTTAGGTATTGAATATCTCATGTTGATACAGTCTGCAACAACAGGAGTAATCAACTGATGATGATTTACACGTGGAATATCATCACAATGTTTCAGCCATTGTGCCTACAGAGAATTTTGAATTGAACCTTTTTAATCTACAGGGACAGATTGTTCTTGTCCCACTGTCTATACTTAGAGATATTTCTTCTAAATTTTTATTGAGTAAAAAATTTAGTCCAAATACACACTGCCTGGGCCAGGGATTGAACTCATAATTACTATCATCAGATTCACAAAACAACACTAATCCACTTGGCTATTGTCAATATGGGGCAGTAACTGAGTGTATTAAAGAAATTCAAACAGAAAATACGAAATATAAACTAGGTTTTAGCACATCAACATCTATATGGAATAAGAAAAGTCATTTTTGATAACAACTAATAATATTAACATTGATATGAATTAACTATTACAAAATTAATGAACTAAAATCATTAGGAAGTTTTATAATTTTGTATCAAACATTACGGACTTAAAAAAAAAAAAAAAAGCCTTGATTTTAAGACAAAAAAAATAAAATATAGTTTTCATGTCAATAATTAAAACAATAAGTTTATTCTTAGAAAAAAAAAAAAACGAGTATCTGTCTATATTTCTGAGATGAGGTATTATGTACACTATTTACATTATTCAAACTATTGTCCTTATCTTTGTTGCCATATTTATCACAACGTTTTGGCTGTTGTACGCTCCAGCTTTCTTCAGGTGGTTGGAAAAAAAACTGAATATTTAACATGGAAAGCACGCATCTCATTCATGCATAATAATTGCAGCTAAGGAAATAAACAATAATCAAGATAAACTGTTAGTCAGATATGAATTAAAAAATAATAATACTTTATGAAAAGGCAAGAGTAGAGTGGGTACTTACTTGCTATATTTTAGATTATCAGGTTGCCTTGTATCATCATAGAAGACATTTTCAATGAAAAATGTCCCAGATTTAAACACATCCTGAAAATATAAAAGCTAACACTGAGCAATTGAAATTGAGCAGAAAAATTCAAATTTTACTGATAGAAATGAAGACATACAAGGAATAGATGAATTGAATGCTTGTAAAATCTGTAATAATCAAAATTTTATATAAACCAATTCTGGATGTGCAGATGGTGTAATGGAATTTGTAAGCCAAGTTCAAATTCTGTTGTGTTCACTTTTACACAAATACCTTTGGGAAAGGCATGAATCCATCTACCACCCCCAAGAAAAAGCTAGGGGATAAATAGAGTAGACAGAATTCTCTGGTCATGAATGGTAACGAGTCTAAGAGAAAGAAAATTTAATTCTAAACCATGGAAAAGGAAACCACTCCATTATCCTTCCCAATGATTGATCAATTTCTTTTCTATGGCTTATCAACCCATTGTGTGTTATTTAAAACAAGAAAATGTTTTTGACTGAGAATTTTTTTTTTTTGTGGGTGGGAGTTAATGGTTTAGTGATACAAGTCTAACCAATTAACAATTCCAAGCCATTATCCATTACACCACCTGGTATTCCCAAGCAGTCACCCATCTAAGTACTGACTAAGCTCTGTCCTTCCCAAGAAATCATAGTAATTCACTGATAAGAAAAGGAGTCTGTGAAGAGTCATAATTGCCTGTCCTGAAGGGACATGGTATTTAAAAAAAAAAAAAAAAGTCTTGTGGTAGGTCATATTTAAAGTAGCAAACTAGTGAAAATTTTATATTAGTAACTGTTAAGTGTTCAGAGTATAGACTTCAAAAATTCAAATTTTAGTCATAAACTGAAAAGGTAATTTTCAAAATTTTTTTTATTTACACAGATCTGACTTGTAGAAGCTCAGCTATATTTTAAATATCTTACTTTATAAGAGAAATGCATTGTCAGATATAAGACTTAATGAATATCTGTAGAAGATCAAATTTAAACATTTAGCTATACCTTGTTGAATAGCAATATGGAAGCATATATGGCAAATGAACCTGAATGACCAAAAATGATAATCTCAGATTACCCACAACAGCAAAAGTGTATTTCCTGCATTAAAAACACCATAGTTCGTAATAACTGACAATGCTTCATCTAAGAAATTCAAGGACTATAAGATTTCAATATAAATTGTACAAGATATCTTCAGTTTAATCTCTCCCACTATTGCTGGAAAGCTTTTGGTACAAAATGAGTTCTGTTTGAAATCAAAAAAGTTTTGGTGTAAGAACTTACCCAGGCACAAAGACTGATGTTGAGGTCTGGGTTATCACTGTAGTCTCCTGTAACGAGAACATCATTAACACAACGGATGCGATCTCTCAATTCAGTTAGCTTTTGTTGTCCAAGAATAGCATACACATTTTCCAAACTTGCCTGAAATAAGAATATTTTTAAATAATTATTATATTTTAGGCCCTTTACCCACCAATTAATATGAACAGAACACCTATAGTTGAGCAGTCAACAAATGTACCCCCAGTTGTTGCAAATGTAAAAAATTGTTCTCATTAGTTATTGAATTCACAATAAAAATCTGAAGTCAGGAATACTGTAATTAAAAGTAATGATCATTTTTTTCTAAAGTGAAAAATTTATTACTTTTATACATAAAACATTGCTTTTTTTTTTTTTTAAAAACTAAATATAACTTAAATCCGTGAGAGTGTGTATAGCATCCAGTGAAAATTGACGCCCTATTGAGTAGTAATGGTTTGCTTTCTCTCTCTTATATATATATATATATATATATATATCTCAAACACTTAATATATATTACATGTACATGTAATATATATTTTACATGGTGTTTGTGGACTTGATGAAGACCTTTGACACAGTTAATCAAGAGGCTCTTTGGCAAGACTTGAGGAAACTTGGCATCCCAGAAAACATGCTAAAGGTCATCATCTCCTTTCATGAAGGAATGAAAGCTAATATCATGTCTGATGATGTTAGGATCCTTTGATGTCACAAACAGCACCAAGCAAGGGTGTGTCATGGCCCCTGTCCTTTTTGCCCCTTTTCTTGTTGGTGATGCTGAAATATGCATTTACAGACAGAGAGCGGCGTCAAGTTTGAGTTTCGAACAACTGCTGGTCTCTTCCATCTGCGATTCAAAGCCAAGACCCACCTTCGTACAAGAATTATTCGTGATTTGTTGTTTGCTGAGGATGCTGCTCTTGTTATGACATTCTTTGAGGAGGCCCAACATCTAATAAATCGTTTCTCTGCTGCATGTAAAGCTTTTGGTCTTACACTTAGCATGAAGAAAACTGAAGTAGTGCACCAACTTTTTCCTACTCCGAAGCAATTCTGTGGTGAGAAACAAAAACCACCAGTCTACAAATTTCTGGAGAGGCCATTGAAAGTAGAGGACAAAGCCCTGAACTATGTAAAGTCTTTCACCTATCTTGGTAGCAAAGTCAACTACAGTAGAACTATAAATGATAAAATCATGCATCAGATTGCTAAGGCTACCAGTGCTTTCGGCAAACTTTGCCATCACCTGTGAAATGAGCAGGGTATTCGACTGGATACAAAAATTAGGGCTTACAGAGCTGTTGTCCTTGCCATTCTTTTGTATGGCTCCGAGTCATGGACTCCATACAAGTACCATATACACCAGCTGGATGTTTTCCATAAAAGCTGTCTGCATGCCATCTGTAGAGTTAACCTTCACAATAAGTCATCTAATGTAGACCTGTTTAACAGGTGTAATATTGGAGGAATTGAGACTTTTCTCATACTTTCTCAGTTACAGTGGACTGGTCATGTCTTGAGAATGTCTGATGACAGGATACCCAAGATCCTAATGTACAGCCAGTTAAGGCTACATGAATGTAGGACGCCCATGGCTAAGATACAAAGAGAAACTGAAGAGCAACATGTCAGCTGTCAATATACCACATAACACCCTCAAACGGGTAGAATGAAGATCAACCTGTATTAGTGGACTCAGCAGTTTTCAATCTGCTACTCTGAATTGTCAAGAAGCAAGAGCAAGCTCTAAAAGGTCAGCCAATCTAACTGATCTTATCCCACAATCCTCTCTTGCACCATATGTGGCCTCCTTTGTAAATCACTAGTGGGTCTTAAGTGCCACAAATATTTCATAACTGAATCAATTGGTTAAGTTGTCAGATCCTCATACATTGAAACCTATGGGAGAGTCCATTTTTATATATATATATATATATATATATATATATATATATATATATATATATATATACACACACACAGAGATAATCACTTAAAGATATTTAGGCAGTAAAAAAATTCAAACAAGTCTTCTTAAAATCAACTAACAAGGTTTTTAATTTATTTTTATCTACTTTGCATATAAAGTGTTGCATATCAAGATTGAACTTATAGATAAACTGTCCAAATTTAAATGTTTTTGTTTGAGTAATTTCTATCAGCATAGTCATTATCTGAAACTATTATGGGGGCATGATAGAAGCTAGGAATGATCTGGTGGGAATAAAACAAACTGAAATAATGCTAAAGTTGGTCAAAGTGGTGTACTGGGATGTGAAGTAGAGAAAGGATGTGGCTGTCCAGATGCAATTGTAGACACATTGAATGGAACTGGCTACCATGGATGTTTTAAACTAGTGTGTGACCCCGAAAAAGGAAGGAGAGTTGATGAAATGGACATGTTGGAAGCTCAGAGAAAGCAGATGGAAATAATGACAGGAATTCTGAGAAAAACTGAACATTTTGATATTGAGCTTTGTACAACAGGAAAAATTGTAAACAAAAAAAACGTATTCAAATTATAAAGTCACACAAGAAAAAACTGCTCTTTGAGAAACCAAAAGTGTGAGACTTAAAAATATAAAAAGGATATACAGAGTCTTGTAAAATGGATGGAGATACCAAAAGGTAGGAGCAAGTCAGATGAGGTGTTGGTTTTGTGGTAACAAAGGCAACTTAAATGCAAATTGTCTTGTGAAATGTGTGCAAGAGAAAATGTATGCTAAAAGGTGTAAAAGTAGCAAGAATATAGCAAAAGAAGTTACAGACAGAAAGAAAGGCATACTAAAACTGGCAGGAAGGGTGGCTGCTGCTGATTGGAGAAGAAATGAAAAGAATAAGAGGGGAAGAACCTCCTCCACCTACCAAAAATAGTCAAAACAAGCGGAAGAGAAACGACACCTGCTGTACAGAAACTCGTGAGTCTGATCCCCTACTGCCATCTCAATGAGCCATTCTAAAAGTGAAAAGGGCAGACATGCCTAAAAGGTAGTGGGGATGATAACCTGAAGGAGTATTGGGATTTGTGTCTTGTTTGGGCTAGTGTGCACAAAAGGGTCCCTCCATATAATGCTACTGTGTGTGTGTGTTGTGTGTGACATTGAACACTTTGGGTGCTCTTCTTTTTGTCATTTTGTTCCTTGAAGGACAATAGAATCCACTACCCCTGCTAGAAAAGAGAAATAAAAGTGGAAAAACCTGGAGTAATGCAAAAAATGAGTTAAAGATAGTCACAGTAAAATTACTTTGAAAATATATTATTGATAAAAAATACTATTTTTAAAAGTAGTAGAGAAGTTGACTTTTTTTTGTTTCAAATGATGAAAAGGTCAATTTTAAAGAGATTTAGAGAAATTTGAAACAATTGGCATTTGCTACTGAGGTGCAACACTGAGAAATTTAAAGTAATATGGTAACAATCTGTGCTAAGTAGCCACTTTCAAGAAAACCCAGTGGTGATAAGACCCAAGTGGCTAATAGCGTCTATGATTGACTTGAAAACATGAGACTGAGAAATATTAAAAGTAAAATATGCAGGAAAACAAAGGTAATTTGAAGTGATGTAGGCTTCAAGCAAAAGCAACTGGGATATTTGAACTTGTTTTCTAACAAAATTTGGTATTAGCAAAACAGTACAGTGAGATGCAAAACTTTATATATGAATTAAAGTCATTAGGGAAAAGAGGAAATATGGTGGTAATTCCTATAGTTGGGAAAGTCCTTAATGCTTTATTTGGAACAATAAATAAAGAGCACTTAATGATGATTAGGAAGATTGATTGATAGATTTGTTTTTTTGTTTTTATCAACTTTTTACAAGTTATTTAAAGCCAGGAAATATTTTTAGATTTTGAATTTTTTTTTGGGAGATAACGATTTACTGCTAATTAACTCATAGATGGTAGGGAGAAGCGGTAGATACATACCTTTCCCAAGAGTATTTGTAAATGTGAATGTAATGAACCTGACTGGAATTGGAACTCGGCTCTATGATTTCCAGTTCCAAATCATTATCCATTACACCACCCACACATCCAAGCTTACAGCATCTGGTATTCCCAAGTGGTCATCCATCTAGGGACTGATCAGGCTTGGTGTTACTTAACTTTGATGATTGTACAAGAACCAGTGTTTTAACATGATATAGCCATAAACCTTGATTAGGAAGAAGTTGGTTTCTCTTAATGAGAGACAGAAAATGCATGTTCAGTAAAGGAATGTGCATTGATTTGCAAAGGAGTGGATAGCTTCACCTATTGTCCAGTTCACACCCCTCCCCAGTCTTTTGAACAGGAGTAAAGGTTTATCCCTGGTTTCATGTTCAGGATTGGGTTTCTAGCCCTTTCTAAAGTCTATGTCTAATGTCTTTGCCTAAGCTCTGAAATTTTATTTACTATTTATTTTTTTTAATTTTATTTTTTCCTCAATGGGAGTAGATAAGTTTGCTTATCACCCAGTTTACACTCCTTCCTCATCTATTGAACAGGATTAGAGGTTTATCCATTGTTTCTTGATTTAAAAAAGAAAAAAAAATGTAAATGAAGTAATTTTGTTTTAAAACAATCAGAACATTAATCAGTCATTTAATGTTCTTCAACTTAGGAAAGTAACACAAGTGATGACTGGGCAAATAGGAAAACTAGAATCTTTGTAAAGCAATATTTGCAATTTGTTCTAATGAGCCTCATTCTTTTGTGTCACATCAGCTCAGTCCTTCATGGCAAAGACCTGTCTTCCTATATTCGTAGGGTCAAATTACCCCAATACTCCAAATATTTCTCTTATGTGAAGGGCATTCCTCTCTGAAAGCTTCCTCCAAAGAACAAACTTTGTGGAACAGACACACATGGTCATTTCCTAAAACATTACAACTTAACCTTTTTAACCCTTTAGCATTGAATATGCTCAAAACTGCCCTGTAAATATCGGTTCTCAAAGTCTTACTGTTTGCATGACTTCCTGCATTATTTGCAATGACATCATCATATATTATGTCAGAGTATACATGGGATCGGTTACGTTGATTTAAACATGGACAGTCAATATTTACAGGGCAGATTTGGATTGGTTGAATGTTAAAGGGTTAAGTTTAGTGCCAATAGTTATCTATTCTCCATTTTATTTTTACTTCTTTCTCTTGCGTTCATATCACATCTCATTCAGTAAACCTGTACTTTGATTGGCTCTTGTGCCTTGTATTGGTCTAACTTTAGTATAAAAAAAAAAAAAAATTATTGCCAGTAATTGACAGATTGTTAAGTAATGGAATTTTTGCTCTTGCCTGACATGCTCTCATTGGGACACTCATTACCTTACATTTCAAGGACCTGCTGTTTAAAAGGCAGTCTATGTTACCACATTATATCAGGTTACCTGTCAGCTCTGCAAACAAATTGTCACATTATCTCAGCTTACTAGGTTATGTGACACTGTAGTCAAGGAAGATACTGTTGAAGTAAGGTAATAAATCTACTTATCCCTAGCCTAATAGGAAATTGTTCATCGTGATTTGTACCCATTGCGTTTATTGGAATTAATTAAAAGAGCTAGTGAAACAATTAACAGAGATTTTTTGATTGAAATAGTGACAAACAAGAAACTAGAAGAAAATGCATCCATACGTTGTGAGTTTATAAGATGAGGCCTTTATGATAGGTTTGCTCCCCTTTCTAAAGCTATCTGCAGTGTGCAAGATGGAACTAATTAAGACAAAAATAATCCCTCTGTTGATTACAGCAATATTCTGCATTTGATGAGCCCATCATAGTCTTGGCCGATTGTCAAGCAGGAGGAAAATTTGAGGCAAAGGATTCCTTGGTTCTCACAGGTGTGCTGGTGAAGGAATTTTCTAGTGTGAAAACATACAATAACTGAATTGTGGGGTACAGTGAAGTAAACAGACCTGCAACATTGGTTAGATGAATTCAGTAACAGACAAAAGGTTCTGTTTAAAGTAATCAGACAATAGGTATAATGGCATGGTCATACCTGACCAAAACTGTTCGTTTGGGTATTTATGTACATGTTAACCAACAATAACATGGAAATTGATGGATTTGTTTCTTTACAGCTTATCAACTCTTTGTGGATTATATCAAGCCAATGCATATTTTGAATTGTAAGAACATTTTTTTTTGTATGTGAGTGAATATTTCATTTATAATTATTTTTGGGAACAATGATAAAAGTCTTATTTAACCCATACCTGGTGGGAGGAGATGGACTTCTACATTTCCTAAAGGTATTTGCATCTAAGTGTATGTAAGGATTCCTACTGGAAGTACACCATCTAAGGGTTGTTGCTAAAAAGTAGATGACAGTAGCCAGGAAGAGCTCTTAATGTACAAGTTGAAAAAAAAAAAAAAAATATGAAAGAACTTTGAATGTATGAAGTGAAAAGAAAAGCAAAAAGAGAAATTGCATGTCCTCTACAGTTACAAAGAAAACTGATTCCCACATTTATGAAGTGTAAGATGTAAAGAAAAGTGAATACTAAATACAGGGGACAGTAGCATATGTGGCTTATTTATTTATTTATTTATTTATGGTTTATCAACCCTTTGTGGGTTATTTAAAGCTGAAACATATTTTGGATTGTAAGAATAAATTCTTTTTCGTGAGTGAATATTACATTAATTTTTTTTTTTTTTTTTTGGTGAATAATGATTCATACCGTTACCAAGTGCATTTGCATATAAGTGAATGTAATGATCCAGAATGGAATTTGAACTCGGCCCTCTGATTTCTCATTTTGAGTTACTAGCTGTTACACCACCCACACATCCACACTTTGACAAGAAATCATCATTATTTGTACTCAAATTATTGTCCTCATTTGGCTGTTGTGTCATCCATAATTCCTTGAATGTTATTTGGAATGAGAAACACAGCACAAAATATCACTAATCACATCTGATTTAGTGGATAGTTAAAAAAAAAAAATGCATTAGTGGAAACTACTATTGTCAAAGAACACCTTAAATCTCGACTTAAAAAGTGCAATAGACATACCCACTTCTATCAGTTGTTTCATAATTTTCAGTCAAGCAGAAGAGTCTAAAAATCCTTGACACTTGTTGCTATAAATTATTGTATGTGTGTGAGCATTTATACATGCAAGAGACTTAGATTTTATTACATTTTAATAAAAAATTTCCTTTTTGATAGAAACAACAATTCCCAAAACCATATAATTATTAAAGTGATACGTACGCTATCATTTGATAAAGTTCTAGTGATATTGTTTCCAATGCGTTTTGACGGTTTATACAACGCCACTTGTAGAATGGCATCGGGAGTTGAAATTCTGTCTTCAGGTGAAGGCTGGTTGTGAGTGGGAGACAACTGTAGAGATGAGAAAAATGACAGCTGCTTAGAAATTAAGTTCTCTTTTAAAGCACAGGGTTAATTGCTGTTTGATGGTATATGAGGGTGGGCTGAAAAGTTCATGGCTGACTAAGGAGGAGTGATGTTAGAGCTCTGAAATCTTGCAGGTGTTTTTTTCATTTTGGGGAACAGATGATAGTCAAATCCAGAGAATAGAGAGGGTGATCAACCATTTGGGAGCAACAGTGATGTACAACAGCCATTGAAACTAAAGACTTGTGTGTTGGAGCATTGTCCTGATAAAACAAAACCAATTTTATCAGTTTTCCTGGGTCTTTGGTCTTGATAAGCCTTTCATAACTGCCTCAGTAAGTTGGTATAGTACTTTCCATTGATGGTATGGCCCCCTTGAAGATCATTCCTAAACACAATGGCTTTTACATCTGTAAAAACTGAGGCCATTACATTCTCTGCAGATGAAATGACCTTGGCCTTCTGTGGAGCAGGTGAGGTGGGACATTTCCACTGTATGGATTGTCTCTGGCTCAATGTGATGAACCCAACACTCATCCTGGGTTAGGAAATGTTCAAAGAAATCACCTGGATCTGCCTCAAAGTCAGATTTTCCCATGATGTGATGTGCACTTTTGATCAGGTGTCAGAAGACATGGCACCCATCAAGCAGAAATCTTTGTCATGCAAAGTTCATTGTGCAAAATATTCTCAACTTTAATGGGATATGCTAATAGAATTGGCTATTTGATTTATAGTCAATCGCCTGTCATCTATTATCATGTACTGAACACAATGTTTTCCTCAGTGGCCGCAGTTGCAGGATGTCCAAACCTTGAGTCATCTTTAAGATCCCCTTCAGTTACTAAATTCAGTTGCCCACTTTTGCACTGTGCAATAAAGTTGGATAGTCATCTGCTAATGTAGCAACTATGTCAGTATCAATGTCCTTGGGGGATAAACCTTTTTTTTTCTGCAGGTAAACGATTCCAAATCGTCTGTTTTCAAGAGAAGTAGCTACTAGTTACTTTTGAAGTCTTTCAACAGTTAGATGTTAGTTTACCCGGAAAGAAAAAATGCAGTTATTAATAAGAAGAATTTAAATTCATGCAAGATTACACAGCTCTAGTATTACTCCTTCATAGTCAGCTTACGAAATTTTCAGCCCACCTTCATATATACCAACCACACTATTTTAGCAGGAAATATTAAAAAAAATATTGTTGGATGGTATATTGAATGTTACTGGAACTTCAGCTAGTAACATTCAATATACTTCATCCAGGTTCCACATTTGACTCAGTTGAAAAACAACTTTCCATTCATTTATTACAAATATATTAAATTTCAATATTTTAAAAAAAAAAAAAAAAAAAAAAAAAAAAAAAAATTTTTTATGGTATCATTAAAAAGTGGGTCTTATATAGTGTAAAAAAGGTTTTTATGATATTGTAAAAAAGAGAGTCTTATATGCTGTTAAAAAAAAGTAAAATTTTGAAAATTAACCAACTTAATTATTGGGTATAGCATATTTTTACCATGTCTGAAATATCACTAGGTATCCTACAATTGTAACTTTGTACCATACTAAGCTATTTTATTTAATTGCATATAAGACCCTCCCCGACATTTCAGCAGGGAATATTTAAAAAATAAAATAAAATGATGATGCACTGAATTTTACTAGAATTTCATCCATGTTTCCTCATTGGTCCAGCTAGAAGCAAGTTTTGCTTATGAAATTCTAATATTCAAATTCTAATATTTGCAGAGAAATATGTGGGTCTTATCTGTCGTCAAATAGGGTAAGGGAAGCCAGATATCAAACCGAGTTTAATGCATTAGTAGAATAGATGTAAAATAGAAAGATTGTATTGCACCAATGTCAGTATAGGAAACTTTAAGATGGTTTTGAACACTGAACACATTAAATATTCAATTACTTCAGACATCATCTGTTGAATTGTCGGATGGAATATGAGAAAAAGAAAAACAAAGATAATCAAATAAATAATAAAAGTGAAAAGAAAATGTTGTCACTTTGGCAGGCAGTTGAAAACAACTTACTGGACAAGAAAATCAAAATGAAACTGTTCATGAATATTATATTATGTATATTATATTATATTATCTGCTTAGACAAATGTGAACACAACTAACCTGTCTCTGATATATATCTTCCTTCTTTTAAATGTCATGTCTCTTCAGGATGTAGGTGATCATGGTTCTTCATATATTGCTTTTCTTTATTATCTGTGAATTGCCAAGACTTTGTGGAAATGATAGTGCAATAGTTTTCTGCTGCTTTCTCTATAGCTTGGGATTCAAAGAAAGCCCAGCTTACTCTACTATTTAACCCACTACTAGTGGGGAAGAAAGAGAAGAGATGGTCATTGCTCACATGTTATGTCCATGATATCCTCAGCATCCTTCTGTAGGACCACATTTCTGTTACTTCAAGTCTCTTGTTGAAAGAAAGAAATTTGAAAACTTGGAACATATTTCTTGTACTTTTCTTTCAAAATGAACTTCAGACAATTTCTGATAGAATTTCCTTCTTGTCAAAGAAGGATTATTCATCTATATAATACTAAAAGTCTGTGAATCATACATACATTGGTCATCAGGTGCATAATGATTTAAGTTTCTTTCCACCTCTCTGTGATTGTGTGCATGCTTACATTAAGTGAATAAGATTTAAATATACGGAGTTGTTTATACAGTATTTTTATTTCAACTTTCTTCTAACAGACAAATTTTTTAATGTTGAAATCAACTTCAATCTTTTATAACCTGAACCGTCACTGACCTAACGGGTCATAAGTAGTCTAGTAATTTGGTAAAATATATCATTAAAATTAATCAACAAAAATGTCTTGTTTTTAATAATATTTACTTAAAAGAAAATTTGCTGCCTAAATACACAGAAGAATTTATAATTATGATGTTATTTCCAAATAGATCAAGAAATAACCCATCAAGCTAAATTTAACCCATTTATAAGAAGCTGGTGATTCCTAGTATAACATTATACTAGACTAGGTACCTCCACTTAACAACAAAAATAAACAGCATAGCATGATGAAAAAAAGCCCCAAACTTAATAAAAACAAAGTTTTATTGTCAAAATGTCCATGTTATTACTTAGAGGAAAGACCAAAGTATTTTTTTTATTTTATTAAATTTTTTAATCCTTTCTAGCACATTCGAAATTTTGGTTGAAAATATTGTTTTGCTTACATCAGCAGTCTATATAATATTTGCCATTAGTGTTTAGTGTTTTTTTCAGGTGAAAAACATTGATTTGTAAATTATTGCAAAAATCAAATAATTGTCAGATTTTAATGAAACTTTAGTAGTTATTCACAAATGAAATTATTTTTGAAATTTTTTTTTAGAAAATCGTAAACTAGTTGGTAACAGTAACACCAGTACCTTCTCTGTTGTAAGGATTGACATAGAATCTATTTCAAATACATGACTCACAAATTCCAGTACTGCAATCTGCCATGGTAGACACCTTCTGCCACTGTCTATTGGTCTGCTTCAGATCCCACAGCTTTTTATGCATCTGGACACCTGAATCAAACCACATGTCCCATACCAAGTTTGTTAAACAATGTTTTCTGTATTACAAAGAATTCAAGTTCAATCCAGGCAGGCAAGACACAACCAGGTTCTCTTCCTCTGCTGAACTGGTAAGTTATTATTCATGCTACACTCTTCCCTGATCTCATCATCATCACACAAACTGCAGGATAGATGTGACCTCTTCTTGTGGGCACTTTTCCAAAGGGTGACAAGCTTGGCCTCTTCTTCAGAAGAGCTCTTGGAAGGGGCATCTGTGGCATTTATCTCAGCAGTCAAGCTCTTCGGTCTGCATTGGTGTGGTACAATAAGTTCACTCTTGGATGACACATCACTGTTGTCACTCGCTGGTGGGGTTGCGTCAAGGGCAGGATGGAGATCCTTTATGTGTTCTGTTGACCATGACAGAGTGTTGGCAGATAATGTCGGTGACACGTCCCTTCTTGTAGCTGGTGGTACACTGACTATTGGGGGAGCTTCCCTCAAATGGTGCATGAACTTCTTGGACAGATGGATATGTGCAGTTAATACTTTTGAGGTTGATTCACTATATTCACTTGATTCAGTTGTCTTGGCAATTTGTTGTTTATTCATAAAACTGGTTTAAATTACAAAATATAAATAAAATATTAAAAAATAATCGTTGAAAGTTAATGTTATTAAAGGATTTTTTTTTGTTCAATTTAAATTTGTTTACAATGGTGAAACACTGAAGATGATGCAATTATTAATCCAGGAGAATCACTGTAATGATAAGCTTAGACAAGCCAGTCATTACATAGAATGCTGTTTTTGGAGAATTATTTTTTCTTTATTTCTAAATTGTATGGTCGGCATGCGATAGAATTTACTTCTTCATATTTATAAAACAAGCTTACAAGTTGTTTAGAATTTTTTACTTGTAAATTGAGTGAGGCCTAAAGGAAATGAATTTGTTAAAATTATTGGTTTGATCTTCGTTTCTCTCTCTCCCCTTCAATTTTGACATCAACTAGTGTGTCTCCCATTTCCACTCTTTAGTAATGGATTTTGGTGGCCACGACTGAGCTGTGACCTTCTGACTTTCATCTCATTTGCAACATACAGTTTCTTAGAAAAGTTATAAAATATTTCATAACAGACTAGCCAACATATTAAAGATATCAACAGTCCACTTTTCTTTATGTAAACATTTTTGTTCTTAATTATTTTTCAGGTTTTATAAGGAAAATACCAAATCAGAGAAACAGTTAAGTTTTTGAAAGGAAAAAAAAAAAAAAAAAAAAAAAAAAAAGTTATTTATTATTGAAAATTCCTAATTCAGATTCCATTTAAGATTAATGATTCTAAGATTCCATCCACAATTCTGTGATTGTGAAAAATTTATTCCCCTATAGTTATCATTTGTTTAAAAATGTATATATTAAAATATTTAAAGTATTTACCTTAAAGTAACATCATCTTAGTTTCCCATATTCATGCATCCAAATGACTTTAATACGAGAGGAAGAAATCTTTCTTACCTGTAACCTTTCATAAATTATTTCCCACTTTATAACCATGTATAAACAATCGCTCATCATTAGATTAAAAAAAAAAAAAAAAAAAAAAAAAAATCAAGAGTTTTCTGTAGTTAAAATTTTTTCTTGGTTGGATAGTCACTTGTTTTTGCTTAAAATAATCAACATCAATGGGTTATTTAATGCCAAAAACTAAATATTTTTGAATGCAACTAGAGATATTTTGTACATAATTTTATACTTTCAGGGAAAATGTATGTTTTTATAGTTTGTAGATGATAAAATGTATTGTTGGCAATTTTTTTTTTCTAAATAGACTGCTGGTGTTTTGCACCATAAAAATGTAAGTTTGCACTATATTTTCCAAGTGATTTGATTTTTGTTGGGGGGGGGGGGTTCACTATTTGCCCATCTGGGACACTTAACAGGTGTTACAACCCCAGGGTCAGGGTGGACCTAGGAACAACAATAATTAAAAGGTGGTTCCACACTTCTCAAAACTTCCAATCTCCAGCTTTGCTGCTGGATGTAGTTTATCATCATACCCAGGACTAAATTTTTCTTGGAAAAACATTTATACAACTCACCATGTGAGTAAATAAAAATCTATTTCTTTGTCTTCGAGAAATCAAGCTTCTGTATATCGGATAGTTTTTCCTTTTCTCTATATCATTCTTTTGTAAGCTGAAAGAAATGAATAAAAATAATTTTCTAAAAACATATTGGATCATTTTTTTAAAATTTTCAACAATGGCCTTAATACAATTTTATAGACCTCTTTAAAGTATTAATAAATAAATAAAATAAATAAATAAATAAATATTCTGCTTTTAATTATAGGTTTCTACCTGTAACCCAATAATAAATAAATAAATGGGTTACAGGTAATGTAATGTATTTATTTATTGGGTTCCAGGTACAAACCAATAATTAAAAAGTATGCTACTAGGTTGGCACCTCAGTTCCACTCATTTACTGTCAAAACAATTAAATGTAATCTTGCATTTCCCAACAGAGGAACTTCCTTTCTCTTACTTGCTTCCCTGTTAACTATAAACTTCAAAATTTTAAATGTAATGTCAATCGCTATCTTCTGATACCTTGATTTCCATTCTTCTTTTTATCCTTTCCTCAACTCCCTCCATACCCAGTCTTTTTCCTTACTTTCACTCTCTGTAGCCCCTTGCTTGAGGTGAAATGCTTATTAAAAAAAAAAAAAAATTTTCTATAAACCTATAATACTGAATTTTGTTTCCTATAAAGATGGAAATTACTTGATAAGTAACTGAAAACTCACCAGAAAGCTCAAGTCATTCTCATTTCGACTGAGCAGTTCAACTCCAATATTTGGGGTAATCAGGAGAGAATGATACTGACTTTTTTTTTTTTTTTGACAATCCCAGATTTTATGATAAGCATTAATGAATAACATTTCTCTTGATAAATAAACAATATAAACATTTTTAAATATGTCTTGTTATAGAAAAGAGGATAGCATTCAATAATTTATATTTAATAAACAACAAAGTGTGAGCAAGTTTCAATGATGAAGTACTTTTCCTTTTTTGGTGCAAAGTGATATTCATATTCTTGCATTTATGGGCAATCTCTTGTCTTTTCGAAATCTTGATTTATCATTTTTTGGCTCAGGTTAAATATGTTAATAGGAATAAAATCATACCAGTTATTCCAACCAGCATTATAGAAAGAAGAATGTTGAGTACTGGCAAATTAAACTTTTGTTGGTTTATTTTTTCCTTTAAATGTCCTGACCGTTAATGATGTAGGTGATAGTGGCTTTTAATACTACTACTTTTTTTTTTATGATACAAGGTAAACCAGTTGAAAATTACAATACAAGAAAAAAAAGTTCACTTAAATTTTTAAAAAGATAAATTTACTTACTTGACAGTTACCAGGTCAATATCTTCAGGGAAAAGGTCAACAGATTGATACTTGAGTTGGTCTTCACGACCACAACGAAGACTGTATTCACTTAAAAATAAGCAAGAGTCATATAATGAATATGTGCATTTCAAGTTATGTTTAACCAAAATTTTCAGAAACAAAGCTATGTAGATGGGAATCAATAAAATCTTTTTCTTTCTAAATTTATTCTGATTAAGATCATGTGTGAAATAAAAACTTCCTTTAAAAACAGTGATTTTTAAAATTCTGTTATTATAGACAGTTGAATTCTATTAAATACAAAATGGTTTCTGCTGTCTTACATGAACAAAAAAAAAGAAAAAAGAAAAAAGTATTTTATATTTTTAGTTTTATTAAACACTAATAATGAATTTTAAGATCACTATATTTAAATGTTGAAAGTTAAAAAGAAATGAAAATTTTGTATCTCCAATCTGCTGAAAATTGGTGAATGCAAAAAATCTAAATAAATTTATTGTAGCATTAAAATATATAAAACAAAAGCATTAAGTTATAGCCAATTTTAAGATTCATAACACTGATAATATCTAATTTGACATTAAATATATCAGATTCTTTTAAATTGCCAATTCTTTCACTGCAAAACAGATCAACTTCTGGAAGGTTGAGTGGCTCAATTTGGATTTTTAAAAATATTCAACTCATCTACAAAGAAAAAGGAAAGGAAAAGAAGAAAGCAAATAAAGTGTAAAAATCAAAAAAATTTAATATTCCAGAAATAGTTAAGTTTATTTACAAACAGTTTTTTTCTGTTTGTTTTTTTTTTTTACTTTAATTTTTACTTATGAAGACGGTTTTCTTACAAGAAATAAACTACAGGATAATTTCTTAATGACTTTGTTAAACTGCTACATTGACTATCATGCAGACTGCTACTTGATATATCGTTCTTTATTTATACTTGGCATACAGACGTAGGTGTAGACATGAAAACAAATATTTATCAGAAAAATGCTTGGTTCCATTTTAAAGGGTGTTACTTAAAGAAAATGTATAATATTTCTGTGGAAAATTTTAGGAAGAAATGATTTGAGAGGAATGCCAACATTTGCTCATAACTTCAATGTAACAAGTTGGTAGTAAGTGTACTGTTGATTGAATCCACAGGGGTCTTTTTTTTTTTTTTTTTTTTTTTAAATTTAGTAGTAATTTGAATTTCCTTAAAGAAGATACTCTGGGCAATCAACTCTTAAGCGACATAATTTTTGAGAGGCTCCCTATGTCGTTAAGATGAGAATTTATTTGTGAAGTTGGTAGCAACTACCCCTTGCTGGGGGAGATCAATTATTCTGATGCGTTCCAAACATTGAAGATTTCTAGGCCTGAGATCCCTAAAGCAGACAAGCCTGTCAACAAATAGAGTGCCTTTGACTCGGGTAAGTTCAAACCCAGTAATGTTGACAAGAAACCCACCAAATTGGAGAATTTTTTTGTGAAACTAGCTCTTGTTTGCTACAGGTGCAATTTTTGTGATGTAGTAGTCACAGTACCTTATACTGCAGATGGTACTCTGCACTGAAGGAACATTTACAACAATGTAGGGAGTCTAGATTGTGTTTCCATTGTACTAGCTCCCTTTATTCACCAGAGGATTGTCCTGATAAAAAGGGGGTGACTCCAACCTTGTTGGAAGTGTAAGAGCTGTGAACATGTGGGTGCTCTATGTCCTGACTTGAAGAAGTCTCAAGTGGATATGAATCCTTGCTTGCATATGGGTCATATTAATCTTCTGTTACCCATAATGTGAATTATGATTGTTAGCAGTAAGACTGAAAAGACATTTAATTGTATGTTGGATTCAAGCACTCGGCGCTCTTATCTGTGATGGAGTGCTGGATATTTTGCTTTGTCATTCTGCCCCTACGAGGAAGAGGGATTTTATCATTAAAACCTTTCTCGATTCTGCCAGGTGGAGCTCGAGTTGTGTGTGAAATTACCAAACTTTGAGTATTCTGTTCCTTTTCTAATCGACAAAGGTTTAGCCCTTCTGTTTCATGCTAAGGCTTTTGCTACTGCTGTTGAAAATATTATTACTGATGGTAGCAAGTTGGCTGCTGATTTATCTGGTGTACATGATGATTACATTTCAGTTCATGGATTGATAGGTGTCAACATGTTGAAGTACATGGGAGCTATGCATCTGATTCACTTTATGAATAGATCAGCCTTTAAATTTCCTCAAGGTATAGTACCCTTTGATGATGTGAAAGATTTTCTGTCTCCTGTTGTTCATGTGTTAGTGGTATCAACTATAATCAAGTTGTTCCCACATATTCTCAGTGGCCTGTGACACATGTTTATTTTGTACTGGGCCCAAAATCTGACTACTTCGATCCTTTGGACAGTCTTAGTGAGTCTTCCGTGGAGAGATCTTGATAAACTCTTTAGTTTGGAAGCCTTAGGTGTTGTAGAGGACTGTCAGTGATAACGACAGGAATAAAATAACCTTGTTCAGCAATTTGATCTCATTTGATCTTGAGATAATTGCTATTATGTTGATTTGCCTTGGGATGAGGTTAAATAGTCTTTGGTTCTATTCAATCATTAAGTGTGCTTGATCATGTTGTTACCTGTTTAAGTAAGCAGGACTTTTACAAGGATTATCGTCAAGAAGATGAAGGTATAATTGAGAGAATACGGGTTGACCCTAGAGATTTTAGTCATTATACACGGATTCCACATAGACCAGTTGTGAAGATGAATGATCAGAGCTCTACTAAGATAAGGCTGGTATTTAATTGTGCACAGGTGGGTATCCCTTGCTAAATTACTGTGTGTATCTGGGAATTATATGCTGGAATTGTTGCTAAAGTTTAGGATGGATCGTTATGTGCTATTGGCTAATCTTCATAGAGCCTTTCTTATGCTTCAATTGAATAGTGACAGGGACAAAAATTGTTTTTGTTTTTTTGTCAAATTTAACAATAAATTTGTGTTATTATAAAACACTCATTTTTGGATTTGTTGCTAACCCTTTTATCCTAAACTTTGTTATTAAGCACCATGTTGAGAAATATCCCCCTAGTTTGTGTAAGGATATGTTGCTTAGTAATTTTTATGTGGATAACAGTGAGGTTTTGAAATTATGTATAAAGGTTGACAATAGTTTTGTCACTCATGCTTCTGCTTGGGAAAAGTATTGGGGTACTTGTATGATCCTGCACAAGATGATTTGCACGTTGCAATTAATTTTTTGGAAGTTGCGGCAGATACCAAGAGGAGTATACTGTCGCAGAATTCATCCATTTTTGACCCGCTTGGGCTCAGTTTACATATGATGATTAAAGGGAGAATACTTCCGTAGTGGAATTTGAAAGATGAAGTTAACTTGGAATCATAAAATTCCATCAGAACTCCAACACATTTAGGACAAGTTATTTCAAGATCTTGCACAGTTGGATAATTTTAAGATTTCCTAGATTTGTTGTGGGCTCCACGTCACTCCGTTAATTATGCTTTGTGATGCTTCTCAAGAGGACTTTTGGTTTGCTGCTTACATCTTTCTGGGTGGGTCGGCAAATTTGATATTTTCTAAGGCTAAAGTTGTCCCTTTGATAAAGAGAACTTTTCCGTCTGGAATTGTTGTCTGTCATTCTTTGTATATAATGTATTACCATAATGTATTACCATAATGTATTACCAGCATTTTAAAAGTTGGTCTCATACAGTCAAAAGGATTATGGTGGCTGTAGATGCACAGGTTGTGTTGTAATGGATTTTGTCGGAAAATATAACGCAAAATGTTGTTCACTTCACTTGAAACCGGATCACCTGAGGGTAGAGCCGTGGTCACGGTAGAGCCCAGACTCCAGATTTACAGATCCTTCTCCTATCATCCTGGAAGAGATCCAAATTTTCAACTAGAGGGGGGAATCTCATGACTACAAGTGAAGAAGTCTATTTGGACGAGAGGTCTCAAAAATAAAAGAAAAAAACTGTGTCTTTAAGGAAAGGAAAGAAAAAGAGAACAAGAGCATTCGAAATTTAATAAAGAAGGGGTAGGCCAATATATTCTTTTATTTGCATTTGTCTCCAGGGTATGGCTCCGGGGCCAACAGTCTAACACTCTGCTTTCGAGCGGAGAGGAACCTGGACGAGGCTCTGCAGAAGGGCAGAGTCTTGTTCAGGGTGGTTGACTGCCCCTGAACCTGTTTATGCAGGTTCAAAGAGGGAATATTTTTGGCCGAGGCTACGGGCTCAGAAATCCCACGTTAAACCCGGCCTCGTGCCATGTGTAACCCTCGTGGGGGGAGGGGGGTAGCTAAATATCATTTGCATAACAGTGTAGATGGACAGTTTTTTTTCATTTTGTATATTTTTTGTGTTAAAAGAATTATTTCATGCATGATGGAATTGTATGCAGCTTCGCAACATTTTTTTTTTGTTACCCTTCTTGTTTAAAAAAAATAAACCTGCTTGAATTAGGGATCGACTCCGTTTATTTTGTTGTATTTTAATTTTTCATCTTAAAGCCTTTCATTTTCTTTTTTTTTAATGAAAACTTTCATTTTTAACACACATGGATTGTTACTCTCGAGTTGCATTTTGTTAACGCGACAAAACTACGATATTTACTTGCTTAAAAATTGAAACTTTGCAAATTAATAATTTGAATCTGTCTAAATATTTATTTTAAAAAAAATTAATTTATATTAAAATTTTCTATAGCGGACACAGCAACGTGGTGTGATGGTTAACAAACTTGTCTCGCTAGATCAAGCGCGAGTAGGGAGTTCGTTCCTCATTGGGTGCTACATACTTTCGTCCTTACCTTATGTCCCTTTCCTACCTTTAAGCTACGTTAAGTAAATCATTAAAAAAGTTTCTGCGACTTCCAAGAAAAAACATTTTTTTTATTAGTAGTATGGAATTTATAAAGACAATACAAGAAAGAAATCAGCAATTTTTTTAAAAATTATAAACTTGAAAAAAAAAAAAAAAAAAAAAAAAAAAAAAAAAAATAAATCACCCAACCTATTGTTTTGTTTTGTGAAGATAAAATTGAATAACTTAACCACTGTCTCTAAATCCATATAGTTATAAATAATTTGAATTGTAACTGAAATGTTGATTTTTTTAATGTCATTTCAAATGGATATAATAAATATGATGCTCTTTAACATCATGTTTGTAGTGTTGTGAAAAATATTTTAAAACCTATCTTCTGGTAGTTATTATTTTAAAATTTATTTTCATAATTTGTTCAATTGATGCCACTTTCAAGGGAAGTAATTCAGTTCTTGAGAAGCTCTTGTCATGAAAATGTTTTTACAATGCCTTTGTAGTATTGTTTGTTTTCAAAAACTATTTCAAAACGAAATTGTTACATAAATTTTCTTATGTAAGATTTTTGTAAATTTAAAAATCAGTATATTTATATCACCCCATTAACAATTTATTCCATCAGATTACGCTTTTTAAATTAAAACCCTTTATGGATTTTTTTTTTATATATGGAGTAGTTGCGTTTTTTTTAAGATGAGTTAGTTCATTTTTTTTTCATGTCCATTTCTTATACCCCCCTCCCCCAAAAAACAAAAAAAAACAACGTTTCTTTCAAAGTGATTTGAAATTAGTGCTTAGCATTTGTTAATGGACAATATTCAACTTAGAATTAAATAAAAATGGTAAAACCGATTTATTTGACGAAATTAAAATGCAAAGAAACCGTTTAAAGGTCGTAGAAAAATAAGAATAGAACGATAAAAAAAAAATCCCGCAAAAAATTGGATACTTTTTTACTTTTATGTTAGCAATAACTTAAAGATGGTCGTAAAAGTTAAAACAACAAACAAATCTGTAGTCAAGTGTATGAAAGGAAAGGCAGTGTTTTTAATTCATAAAGGAACACTGCAACGTCATTAAACACCATTTTTTTAAAAAAATATGTCGATATTAGTAGTAAAGAAAAAAATGTGAAAGGTCACAAAATGATTATTAGCCATATATCAACAATATTTACTTCACTTGAAAATAACTCCTCGTTACTTCATCAAAAACAAAACTAATGAATAGAATACGTACCCGCAACGTTGGGAAAGGTTCTTTAAAGTCTCATCGTCCACATTCATCATTGTCTTAATATGGTCATCTAGAGAATTTTTGTCGGCAAAATCGAAATTAGACATTTCTGCCCATGACTGAATGAATGCTGCCACACTGACGGGCTCATTGTAAGTAATATCTTCCTTTTGACAAAGTAAACGCGCCATTCTGGATATAGTTCTCGTTTGTCAACTTCGGTTAACACCGGTTTTTATCGGATAGTCACGTCTGGGCAACGGGCCTTTAAGGAATTTTGTGCAACAAGTCACGTCTGTTACTGAACAAGTGTGAAGCGTGTTTTTTAAACTAGTTTTCTTTAGTTTTATCTTCTTAATTTATTTTTTGTGACAACACTATATTGTACGTCCGCTAAGTAAGCAGCATGAACTGGAATGAAAATAATAAGCTGCCGATGGTGACAAAACTAGCCAATCAATACTTTTATAAATTTTTTAAATAAGAATGACAATTCTTTGCCTCCGTTTTTTAATGTACGTACTACCACGGACTTCACTTATAAAAAAAAAAATATTAAAAGCACATTTGAAATAATTTACGTGTTTTCTTTGAAGTTAAATTTTCGTATTGTTTGAAACAAAATAGCCTAAAAAACTAATCTGTATGAAAAGTAAATTTCTGTAAAGTTTTAGACATTTTTTAAACATTCGCACGTTCATTCATTTGTCACTCATCGATTCATCGAACTTCCATTAGACTCACTAAAGATAAAAACAAATTTTAAAAATTCTTTAAAATCCAAGATTTGTCCTAGAGATTTGTTCCAAAGTAAATAATAAATTTAAGGATTAGTTTAAAAACAGGATTTTGTAAATGTAAGTGCTTTACTTTTTGTTTAAAATGTAGGGAAAATAACATTTATTTATGCATGGCAGCCTGTGCTGACATTAGGAAATTAATTTATTTTTCTAATGTTAATCAAAACCTTTAAAAAGCGCGTGTAAAATGTAAATTAGTACAGAGAAACATAAATACTACAATTAGATACTGATATTAAAAAACATACATAACCAAAAGTTTAAGAATATCATTTTTTTTATTCTCTAGGCTTTTATGAAAATTTGTAAAGTGAATAATTTTAAAAAGAAATTGATTAAAAACTAGTTAAAACATACTTTTGAGTTTTTATTGCTTTTATTTTTGTTTATTATTTTCTTATCTGTTTGATGTCAAAATATGTAATTGCACCCAATTAGGTTTTTATTTTAATTATTCTGATTTTAAAATTTATTAAACTAAAGGAAAAAAATTAATGCCGAAATCTATATATTTTGAACATAATTTTATGGCTTCAAAAAAAAAAAAAAATACTAGGGTCTTTCTGGAACGACAGTGACTACCTGGGGTTCTGCTGGCTGGCAATTCGAGAATGTAGCACGAGCCTCAACATACTGTTTAAAATCTCAGCTGACATACCCGGCCAAAATATAAAGTCTCTTGTCAAAACACGTATCAAACACGTATTGATGCCAAAATATCTCCTTTCATTGGGCTACCCTTTAGCAATAATTGTGACAAGCGCCATCATTATTGTATCCTCAGCCGTGTATCTGCGGATCTGTGCCAACCTATGGTCTTGAATTGAATGCAGCGTCAGATTGTTCACTATCAACAGTTCTTCTTTTACTGGCCTGCCGTTGATGGACGAGAAAAGGCATCTGCTAGTGGAATCTCCTTATCTAGTCTGTACTGTGGTGAGAAGTTATAATGCTGTGCCCTCATCAGGAGATTTTGCAGCCTTTTAGGAGCTTTTGATAGCTGCTTTGCACAAATTGACACTAGAGAGGTTTATAGTCTGTCAAAACCTTCACATGTCTTCTGTGACGTCGTCCCCCGGTCGCAGCGTCGACTGTGTCGTTCGATCCCGGTCGCGGCGCCAATTGTGACGTCACGTGCTCCCCAGGCTCTGATATCCTGGTCACGGACAGCACCAACTGTGACGTCTTCGCCGCGGCGTCAGCTGTTCGCTCCTCGCTGCTCCAAACGTGACGTTCTAACCCTTTGGTTAAGTTGATACCAGCCTCGCCATTCCCAACCCGCTTCCAACGTCTGGTTACCAGGGTAACTGCACTGATCTCCAGTCTGCCTACCCACGTTGTGAATTGATCTTAGACAGACGAGATCAAACAGGGGTTGGGGCCGTAATGCAAGTTGAGTCCAACGGGGTGATTAACACACAATTTGTATAAAAGAAAATAAAATAAAAACTCACAAGGTCCAACGTATCAAAGAAAAAGGTAACAAACTTTTTATGTCTGTTTGCTCGGTACATAGGACTATGTCTGCTTCCCGACCCGTTCTGTGGATTGTGGCACGACGCTTTTACTAGGCAACTTTAAGGCTTCAAGTTGTCTGCTCTCTAAGAAATTTGTGTTTCGCTGTGTCTTTGGACGAAAGTCGAAAAAAAAACTTATTTCTGTGGTCTGATTCTAAGTCGCTCTTCAAACTATTTGTTCTTGGTTGAAGAAGAATCCAGAAGTGTGCGTGAATCTTGGTCAGCTATCTTGACGCGGTTTCAACACTGGGCGCTCATCTCTGCTTGTCGTCCACGGCTGAACTCTTTCGCCGTCCGCGGCTGAACTAACTTCTTCTCTTCAGAGTCTGAATTACTGGTCACTCATCTCCGCCGTCGGTGCGCGAACTAACTTCTTCTCTTCGGCTTGGGTCGGACGAACTTCTTCACTTAGGCCAAACGAACTGGCCTCTCCTGCCCGCAAAGTGGGCGACCGAACTTGGGCCGCCGTCCGCGGTTCCACTCCGCTTGCCGTCCGCGGCTGAAACTCTTTCGCCGTCCGCGGCTGAACTCACTTTTCTGTCGGTTGGGGTCTCGCTTTTATTGACGCAGTCAAAACTGGGGTTTGGGTCTGTCGGCGCCAGGGGTTCTTCGATAATTCTAAATACGTATCCACCCTTCTTATTTCTGGTTAGGGATTTTTCATTCTTTTCCATTTTCAGTAACTCACTCTCACTCCCACTCCCTTGCTGTGCCTCTGAGGGGCGTGTAACCGCTTCCCCGCTTCTTCGTATCGGCTCCTTACACTTACACTTCTGACAGGGGCGTCGACCGATTCTCCTCGTGCGTCACGTGACCGCTCTCGGCCAATGAGGTCCTGGTCGGGTATCTTTCCTCCTCCTTCGTGTGTCATGTGATCTTATTTAGCCAATGACGTCTTTAGTCGGGCGTGGACAATCCGTGGCTTTGTTTTGGGAAAGAAACACCTTGCTTAAAAAAACAAAAATATTAATTTAAATCGCCCTTATCATGAGCGTGGGGGATGACACCTTTGGTTTTTTAACACGTGGTAATTTTGAAAAGCAGTTTATCGCTAATTGGATATGATCTAAGAAAGGAATTTCTCAGACTCGTTGGCGTTTCTGAACGGAATAAAAATATTTCATTTTCCCTCCGCTCATGGTCTGATAATAAAAATCTTTATTATCTCAAAAAAAATTTGCCAGCGACAACACTTTGTGTGGGCTTTTTCTAATTCTGAAGACTGTCTGTGTTTTCGTATTAATGGTTTGTCTTCATATCCTTAGATACACTTCCCCACCCACTTAGACCTTTACTATCATTCCAATGACACACTTCCCTTGGTACTTATCAATACTTTCATTGTCCCTAAACTTCGTTTCTTCTTTTCCTCTTGGGTGACAACCAATTGATGACAACTTCCATTTTCCGCGGATCCGCGGAAATCGGTCAGATGCTTGACCTGAATATTTTTCGACACCTGTTATCTGTCAGCCGTGCGTGTGTGTGCTCGCCTATGACCTGTTTTCGTATTATTTTTTCTTTCTTTCTTCTTCGTTTTTCTTTTCTTTCTCCCAGATCGCTTGAATGTAAAGAAAGAATTATTCTTAAAACTCAAAATATTTTTCGGCCTTAAATAATTATTAAATGGTTGATAAACCGTAAAAAACAAATCATATATCTATGAATATTTCTTTCAGCTCGTCAGGTATGCATGGTGCCATAATCTATATGTATAGTGATAAAATTTCACTAGTCAATAGGCTCAAGGGGGTACAGATATATTCTCATGGAATCATCTTTCTTTTTAGTTGTGACCAGTTGTCTAACCCATGTAGGTTTGTCTACAGGTTCAATGACGCCTAATTTGGTCAATCTTTTCAATTCTGCCTTTAATAGAAGTCGGGCCAAAACAGACACTCTTCTATTTGCCATCACAGCTGGGATGGCATCAGGCTTCAACTGCAATGATGCAACACCGGGTAACTCGTCAAATTTGTCACTAAACACATTCTTGAACTCCACCGCTATAGCCGCAATGAGGTGAAAGTTCTCATCTTTTATGGCAACAAGACCCATCTGCTCGCATGCACGAAGACCCAACATTTCTCATCTTTGAAAATCAAGAATTCTACCGAGTACTTTCTGTTGTTCTTTGGGTTTTTGATAACCTATCGACACATGTCTAGTGGTTTTCACCAAGGACTTGTTCCACTTCTTATTACTCCTTGGTACGGATTGATGTGTTTCGAATATCTTTCGGGGAGCATGTTAACAGATACTTCAGTATCAATCTGGAATACTACCTCTTCTTTTTTTAGTAGCATCATGCACTTAGCATCTTTGTTGTTCTTTTTTTGGGGGAGACAGCATTTACCCACTGTGCGTGTTCATCACTGTCCTCATCTGAGTCGATGTCCAAGAAGTGTACATGGGGTCGTTGTGAATCTCTCTTGTCTCCCTTTCGTTTTGCCTCATTGATTTTTTGGTTGTTTTCCATTCTAGGTTAGGGCATCTGGATCAAAAGTGATTATTTCCATTGCATGAATTGCAAATCTTTCCATATGCAAGGCATTTGTTCCGTCTGGGAGTGTAGTAGAAATCACAAAATTGGCGTCCCTGGCGTGAAGCATGCTTTTCTTCAGCTACCTTCATCTCATGAATATGCGTTGATTCAGTCCTCATCCCTAGGTTCTGTACAGCATCTTTGTCAGCTTCTCTGAAAATGTCTATTGCCCGCTGAAGATTAAGGAC